TGCCTGGGTTTTGGGCTCCATCCCCAGCAGGGGGCGTGCAGGAGGCAGCCGATCAATGACTCTCATCACTGATGTTTCTATTTCTCTCTCCCCCTCTCCCTTCTTCTCTCTGAAATCAATAAAGACATATTAAAAAAAAGATTTTTTAGTTGATTTTTAGAGAGAGAGGGAGAGGGGGAGAGAAACATCGATCTGCTGTTTCCTTCATGCCCTCTATTGAGAGTAGAGCCCACAACCCGAGCACATGCCCTGACTGATCCAACCAGGACCTCTTGGTGCTTAAGACGACGCTCAACCAACTGAGCCACACCGGCCAGGGCGGCACTTTTCTATTTTGATAGGCCAAGCAGCCCTTTTGTCTTTCTGGTTTCCTTACACCTCTCTGGGGCTTTACCTAGGAACAAGGGTTCAGGGGCCCTCGACTTTTTATAGTCTCCAACCTATCTGGGCTCACTGGGGATGAATGTAGAGCCCCTCTCTCTGGCCCCCACCATGTCTACATCTTCACAACTATTTCCCCCTTTGTACTCTTTCTTCTCCATCTTTTAGGGAACCTTAGTATTGTAATAAGATTGGGTGAGTGCGGTATGATCAGCATACAATGAAATGCACAGATCCTAAATGTACATACCATTTTCACAGATGCACACACCCACGTAACTGCTAACCCAGTCAGGATTTAGAACATTGCTTACCACCTCAGTGAGTTCCCTCGTGGTCCTTTTCCAGTCATTTCCCCACGCCCTCCCCAGGCAACTACTAATGTGGTTTCTCCACCATAGGTCAGTTGGCTACCAGAGGAGTTGTTTTTAATCATGATATTTTCTTCCTCTTCTTTTGTCTTTGGCCCAAGTCCTTTCTTTTCTCCCAAAGGCCTGGGCTTTTGAAATTCAAAAAGGCAGGAAGGCCCATTCTCTCCTTTCTTTCCCCCTTCGTGCCTTTTGTTTGAAGCAATGAACCACCTTTCTGCTTGATTGCAGATCAGGACTGGAGGGTGGGGTGAAAGTACAGGGAAACCAAGATGTTGGTTATTAGTAAAGTGTCCCTTAAGTGTTATAATGTTAGATGTGAAGAGGTCACAGTACTGACTGTCAGACACTGTTTTGAGTGATTTATGCTATTAACTCATTTAATCCTCACAAACCTATGAGATGGTAGCTACTATTATTCCATTTTACAGATGAGGAAACTGAGGCTCAGAGTGGTTCACAGCTCATGTGAGAAAGTAACATAATTATTTTCCCCACTGCACATGCTCAAGTAGGAGGAAGGTGCTAATCTTGCTCTGGATGTCACAGGGTCTGGGAGCGACTTTGGGGGTGGGACAGAACAGAGGGAGGACCCTCATCCTAAGAGTCAGGTAGAAGAATTGATGGCTGAATGGAGTTTGTACTTGCAGAACTTTGTGTCCAAGGCTCACCGCTCTCCTCGGGTGCACTGGCTGGGGCTGAGTGACAGGGAGCACGAAGGGAAGTGGAAGTGGCTGGATGGGTCACCTGTCACTTTGAGGCAAGTATCTAGAGTTCTTGTGTTCTCTGCTCATTGTGGATCCTTGTGTAGTCCAAGCTAGCAGATTCTTTAGAATCCCAGGCTGGACTGGACAAGGGAGGCACAGGGTGCTTTTTCCCCTGATAGGGGTTCTGGCCCCTGTACCTGCTTAATTTTCCTCCATTGCAATAATCTCCACCTTTTAGCACAACTGCTCAAATATATCTAGTCCCCAAGCTGATGGTTGGGAAAAAAGAAAGAAAGATGGAGTGCCTATAGGACAAGAGGAACAGAATGAACAGGATCTCACTCTTTTTACACTCTACAGATATTAACCCATTCATTTAATCTTTATAAGGAAAGTAGCATTATCTTAATTTTAAAGATGAGGAAACTGAGGCACAGAAAGGTTAAGTAACCTACCCAAGGTTAGACAGCTAGCAGGTGGCAGTGCAAACCAACCTGGCTCCAGAGTCTAATAGCTAAGAGTCTACATTATGTATTAATGTTTCTGTGAATTATCTATTCATATCTTTTTTGTTTTTTAAATATTGGACTTTTGATCTTTTTCCTATTGATTTCTAGGAGCTCTTTATATATTAGATATATTAGTGTTGTGTCTGGGGATCTTATTTTTTGTTCAAGATTCTTGGAAAGAGGCACATCTCTATAAATAGAGATGGCATAGCATGGCATGGCACTGTGGGTGCCCAGCTCAGATCCTTGTATGGGGCTGATGGAGCCACACACCAGCAAGAGGCCATGGTGGCTAAAGGGTCACAGTTATGCTTTCTCTGGATAGTTGTCCTCAGCTGAATGGAAGCCTGCTCACCTAGAAGTTTACCCTATTCCCACTGGGGTCAGTCCACAACAATGATTGGCTAAGAGAAGGCTGGACACCTTGTCTCAAGTTGGGATAACTCTGTGATGCCATTCACTCTCCAGAGCTCCCTGTGGGATCAAGTTGAGGCTAGACTCAGCTGAACTCACATCCTTGCTCACCTCTATCTTCTACCCCATTCTGCTTCTCTCTGTCCCCCTCTCCTAAGTGTCCTTCGGTAAGTCCTGTGCACCTGAATAACCAAGTAAAGATCTGCTGTGACCTAAGACATTACAATACCCATAAGGTTGGGAGAATTAAGGTGGAAATGAAGTGTTCTTTGGAAAAGAACATTGACCAGATGCAGGAAACTGATTCAGGAGGGAAGAGATTGGCCTGGTGAATGGGGGAGATGGAGCTGAGTTAGGACATGCAAGTTGGGGTAAAGCGGATGATGCAGCATCTTCAGGTAATTCTAAGAGGTGGAAGAAGTGATTCAGATAGAAGAAAGAGTCCTGTACCATGAAGGCCTTTTCCCCCCAATATATTTTTTAAAATCAATAGAATTAATAATTTTTTTAATTTACAGAAAAATTGGGCTGAAGGTACAGAAATATGCTATATACATTCCTCTCCCATACATAGTTTCCTCTATTATGAACATTTTGCATTAGTGTGGTGCATTTGTTACAATTGATGAACCAATAGGGACACATTATTATTAACTAAAGTCCATACTTTACATCTGGGTTCATCCTGAATGTTGTACATTCTATGGGTTTTGACAAATGCATAATGTTAATGTCATGTATCCACCATCACAGTATCATGTAGAATAATAATTTCACTGTCCTGAAAAATACCCTGTGCTCCACCTATTCACCCCTCCCACACCACTTTTTCTTCTATCCAGCTTCTGGGAACCAGAGGAACCTAACAACGTTAATGATGAGGACTGTGTCAGCATGAACAAAGGTGGCACCTGGAATGACCTGTCTTGCAACAAAGCTACTTATTGGATTTGTGAGAGGAAATGTTCCTGTTGAACCCCAGGGATGAGACTGGGTGGGGGTCCATACCTGAGTGCCCCTTGGCTCTTGAAGATGAGAGCTTCCTGTCCTTCGGCGGAAGACCTTGCTTCTTCATGAACCAATTTGGATGTACTCAAGACAGAACCAGCAGCTTGGGTGTAGCAAGTTCCTTGGGGTGTAAGTCAGACAATTTCTAGGGCGAAGACTTCGGGGATTGTTCAGTTGGATGGTGTCTTAGTATGTTCAGGCTGTTATAACAGAATACCATAGGCTGGGTGGCTTATAAACAACAGAATTTTTTTCTCAAAGTTTTGGAATCTGAGAAGCCCAAGATCAAGGTGTAGGGAGATTCAGTGCTTGGTGAATGCCTGCTTCTTGGTTCATGGATGCCATCTTTTTGCTGTATTCTCATATGTTAGAAAGGACAAGAGAGCTCTCTTGGGTTCCTTTGATAAGGGCATTACTCCCATTCATGAGGGCTCTACCCTCAGGACCTAATGAACTCCCAAAGGCCCAACTCTGAATACCATCATCATGGGGGTTGGATTTCAACATATGAATTTTTGGGGACACACACAATCAGTCCACAGCTGATGGTGAGCTGGAGTTATGGTCTCCCAGTTCTGGGGTCTGGAGAAAACCAAGTCTTTGATCATGGCACTTAGGAAGTGATGCTTGCTCTGGGGACTCCGGGTCTGACATTGATTGAACTGGAGCTGAAAATACCTTGGGTCCTCTGAACCATGATGCACTGGGGCTGGGCTCCCTTACTGCTTACCTGATGTGGATCAGCTATTGAGAAGCAGGTGGGGCAAGATTATTCTTGACAAGCAACTTTCTCAATGTCTCAGGTGAGGTTTGACCAAGCTAGGTGGTGGAATCAGACCTCTGTTAAGATTTGGCCCTTGGAACTGCTGACCACCTGAAAGGCAAGATTCCCCACCCAGTGTTGCCAAGATAGGCCATGACTTGGTCAGATTCTCAGGACAGCAATGGAGATATCTATCCACATGTATCTTTGAACTATTTGTAGTTGGTAAAGATCTTTGGTGAAATGTTTCACTCTTCTGTCAAGTGGACCTTCTGGGTTATTAGCTCTTGCAACATTAGAGAGTCTCAAAATGCCAGTTCATTGTGTGGTCCTTGCCTACTGTTTAATTTGCTGGGGCTGCCACAATAAAGTACCACAGACTGGTTTAAAAAACAAGAATATATTGTCTCACATGGAAGCATGTAATAGACTGATAATTCTCAGAGGGAAATGAGGGGGGTGGGAAGGGATTAACCAAAGAATTTATATGCATATATGCAAAACCATGGACTCAGGCAATAATGCAGTGAAGGCCTGGGGAGGAGAAGGGAGTGAGGAGGAGGGGGTCAATGGAGGAGAAAAAGGGGACATTTGTAATACTTTCAACAATAAAGATAAATTAAAAAAATATATGCCCACGCAAAAACTTGTACATGAATGCTCCTAGAAGCATCATTCACATTATTTATAATAGCCAAAAACTGGTAAATACAAATGTCCTTCAACCAATAATGGAGTAATAAAATGTGGTATATACAGACAATGAAATATTATTTAGTCATAAAAATGAAGTACTTATATATGCTACAACATAGACTAACATTGAATACATTATGCTAAGTAAGAGAAGCCAAGCATAATAGGCCATGTATTGTATGATTTCACTTATATGGGATGTCCAGGATAGACAAACTCATAGAAACAGAAAATAAATAAGTGGCTAGCAGGTGCTGGGGGAAGGGAAGAGTGGGGAGTTACTGCTAATGGATATGGAGTTTCTTTTGGGGGTGGTGAAAATGTCCTAGAATTGATTGTAGTAATGGTTGTACAACTCTGTGATCATACTAGACGTCATTGAATTGTAGACTTTAAATGAGTGAATTGTATGATATGTAAATTATATCTCAATAAAGCTGTTATAAAATTAAAAATACATTGTCTCATAGTTCTGGAGAATGGAAGTGCGAAATCAAGGTGTTGGCCTGGTTGGTTTCTAGTAAGATTTGTCTCCTTGGTTTATAGATGGCTGTCTTCTCCCTGTGTGTTCACATGCTCTTCCCTTTGTGTATGTCTGTGCCCTAATCTCTTCTTATAAGGATACTATTCATATTGGATTAGGGTCCACCCTAAGACCTTCATTTTACCTTAATCACCTCTTTAAAAGAGATCCTATCTCCAAATACAGTCACATTCTGAGGTACTGGGGGTTAGGACTTCAACCTATGAATTTTTTTTGGGGGGGGGAGGGCAGAATTAAGTCTTTAACACCCACTAAATGCCAGAGGTACCTCTCCCAGTCATTGTGACAATCAAAAACATCCCCTGAAAGCTGGTACTACCCCCAGCTGAGCACAACTCAACATGGCAATTCCTTTGGACAATCCCTGAATTGTATGCAGGGGTGAGTAGATATTCTCCAAATCAATTAATTTATTGATTAGTAAATGAGTAATAGAATTGTCCCTATTTTGACTGAGAGCAGGTTCTGAGAGGGTGTTGGGTAGTGGGAGAGGTTGGCATTCATTTCATTTTCTATTCCTTCTATACTTCTCCCTGCTAACCTTTACACCTGTCCCCAGCTCACCAGTACTGAAACCAGCCCCCTATACAGCCCATAGACTGCAGTGTGGGTGGGGCATCCTGTTTCAAACCCCCCACTGAAGGGACCATTGGTCCAATCAACTGTTCATCTGGGGTCAGGGGAAATTCCCAAATCTCAGAAGAGGAAACTTCAGTTTCCCCCAGTATGTGGGTTGAGAAATGGAGAAACAGGGGTCTGTGGTCATGTCTCCAAGTCATGCTAGTGGGTCTTCGATGGAGCTGGCCCAAACCTATTTCACTTCCCCAATTTCTCATGATTGTCTAATTTCAGATAGAGACATGAATATGAAAGAGGCCCTCTTACCACATGGATTATCAAGCATGTATTGTTTGCTAGATAGACACAAGAGCTCTCATTTAATCTTTACAATGACTCTGTGAGGTTGCAATAATAAGCAACCCCATCGTATAGCTAGAAATACTGAGCAAATAGAGGTGTCATGGCTTGTTCATTGACATTTAGTGGATAAGTGGCAGAGCTGACATTGGACTCAGTTTGTGCCCCCAGTGGTTCATCTCTTTCTGTAGCACCTGCTGCTTTCTGAGGGACTGTCTGCAAACTTGAATTATTTGAGGGCCCTGACCTTGTAGCTCTTGTTTCCGCTGGCAATTATGGGAAAGGAACAGCATGGTTTGGAGGAACAGACATCCTGGACTAAGGTGAGAGACCAAGAGTTGACTTCTGGGTCTGATGATAATAATCTGTATGGCTCTCCTGGGGCTATTATCATAATGCAGGTGAGAGATGATGGGGACCAGGGAGCTAATTGTGAAGGTAGGAAGAATTCTGGATCTATTTTGAAGCAACAGCTAACTTATTTAATGGACTGAATATGGGGTGTGAGAGAAAGAGAAGAGTAAAGAATGATCCTCAGGTTTTCAGCTTAAGCAATAGAAAAAATGGAGTTATCATTACTTAGAGATAGGGAAGGAAAAAAAGCTTATGAACGCAACACACTGAAATTTAGGTGATTCATGAACTCTTGCTGAAATTCTTAGAACTTCTCTTGAGTCAAGGATGAGATCCTGTGTGTAGCAGATGTGGACATACCCTGCTTATAGTCTTGATCCTCAGGCTTTCAATGACTTCTAATGGCCAGCAACTGCCACCAGAGTCTACCTGGTCTGGCACATGGTAGGTGAGAAATGGCAAGGGAAAAATGCTTCCTGGAACAGACCTTACCAACGCCTGGACTTGGTGGGCATATACCCCAGCTCCCTCACCTCTCAGGTGAGATGACTCAGACCGTGTGACTGCCCAGCGGTCCCTGCTGGGATTAAGTTCCCATTGCCTACAGCAATAGCCTGCTCCATAACACACCTTTGAACGCATCTTGTGCTGACTGCCTTTCCCTTCCTGACTCACTTCTTCACACCCCTGCTGGTGTTCCCTGGGATCACATCCAAAATAAACTACTTGCATTTGGATCCTTGTCTCAATTTGCTCTTTGGGGAACCCAAACTAAGACATTGCAAGACAGGAGAAGACAAGCTTGCGACATGGTTCTGGTTTGCTTGGGATGGAGGGGTTCCTGGGGTGTGGGACTTTCAGTCCAAAAGCTGGGAAAGTCCTGGGATGAGCTGACCACCCTTATAGGAAAATAGTGTGATATCAGGAAAATAAAAAAAAAAATTAAAAAAAAAGAGAGAGAAAACCTCAAGGAGAAAAGTAGATGTAGATCAAATCATGTACATTTTATTTTATTTTCCTGAGNAGAGAAAACCTCAAGGAGAAAAGTAGATGTAGATCAAATCATGTACATTTTATTTTATTTTTAATTTTTGAAAATTTATCTTTGTTGTTGAAAGTATTACAGATGTATGTTGTACATTTTATAGACAATTTTTAGTTGTTCATTATACCTCAGCAAAGCTAGACAAAACAAAAAATACTTTATTATAAAAAAGAAAATGAAGAAAAAGGGACCTACAACATCAAGAAAGGTCAAGTTAGAAGAGACTGAGGAGCAGCTGGTGCACTTAGCACTGAGGAGGCATTTGGGATATTGCCCGACTCTTGGGCATGTTGAAGACAGAAGTCAGGCTGCAGCAAGTTGGGTGGTGAGGGGATGGGAGGAAGAGGGGATAGCAGAGAGAGGAGATAATCAATGGATAAAGGTCTGCCAAAGAGATGGGAGGAGATGAGCTCCAAAGCACAGAGGGAAGGGTTAGCTTTAAATAAGGTGGAGGATCCCTTTGTTGTTTGGAAGGATGGAGGGGGAGACAACGAGCAGTCATGAGGAAAGGATGCAAGGATAGGTATGGATGTGGGTATATTTGTAAAGAGATGCTAGAAAATTGAGGGACTTTCCATCAGTTGGTGTTTATTATCTCTGTGAAGTAGGAGACAAGGTCTTATACCTATGTAAAAGGAAAAATGATGTGAATTGAGGAAGGATGTGAAAACAGAAACTCCCCATGTGGGAAAGTTGACTGAGGATAGGAAGAGCAAGTTTCAGGTAGCATGGAGAGTCTTGTTTAGATCAGAAAGCACATATTTGGTTATTTTTTTCTTTCAGTTTTTACAGTAGTCCTCCCTTATCCATGGTTTCATTTACTGCTCTTTGTTACCTGTGGCCAACCTCAGTCCAAAATTATTCAATGCAAAATTCCAGAAATAAACAATTCACAAGTTTTATTTTTTTATTTGTTATTTTTAAACATTTGATATGTTTTTTATTAGTTGTCCAGGTCTTAAAAATTCTTTGTGATATAGAAAATTCCAAAGCAGATAAATGTCTCTTTATAAACCATACATTAGCATTGTTTGTAAACCATACATGGGTAGAAAGTACACATTTGTTTTATATATATATTTTTTATTATTAAAAAAATATAACTTTATTGATTTCAGAGAGAGAAAGGGAGAAAGAGAGAGATAGAAACATCAATGATGAGAGTCATTGATTGGCTGTCTCCTGCAGGCCCCCTACTGGGGATTGAGCCCGAAACCTGGGCATGTACCCTGATGGGGAATCCAACCTCGATCTCCTGGATCACAGGTCGATGCTCAACCGCTGAGCCATGCGTGGCTGGGCAGAAAGTACACATTTGTAATGGCTCCAAGCTAAATGATTCTGAGGTCTCACAGCTTTGATGGTGGAATGGAGAAGAAACATGATTGGTTCATAAAGAAGGCTGATTTGGGCTGCAAGTAACAGATTACCTGACCCAAAGCGGCTTAACAAAAGGAGTCTGTCTCACATAGGAAATAGCCCAAGGAGTGTTTCAGTAACTCAACAATGTTATAAAAGCCCAGATTATTCCCATCTTTCCACTCTTCCATCTTTCCTTCATGGATCATATTATTATAATAACCAAAAATAAGAAGTCATGGTCAGGGTCTTCTTAAATTTGTCTGCTTTTTTATCAAGGAGAAAAAGCATTTTCCAGTAGGTGTTTTTTATATCTCATTGGTTACAATTGGCATACAAATGCCCATCCTGAATCAATCTTTAGCAAATAGGAATAAGTGCACTATAGTTAGTTAGGACCAGGGTTTCTCTACTTCAGCACTACTGACATTTGGAGATGAGTAAGTTTTTGCTCTGTGTGTGTGGTCTGCCTTGTGTATTGTTGGGTGTTTAGTAGCATTCCTGGCCTCTGCCACTTAGATGCCAGTAGCATCTCACCTTGCCCTAGTCATGACAACCAAAAACGCTTTCTAGACATTGACAAATGTCCCTGGTCGGGGGGTAATCTCCCCTCAGCTGAGTATCACTGACCCCCTGGGTTCAGACACATTGCTGTCTCAAACCTTAAAACAATCAAGTTTCTGTTAATAATCAAGTTTCTGTTGATAGTGGTAATGGCTGCTGAATAGACAATGCACAGTGCCTGCCATATTTGGATCACTGCTGGATTGGGGTTTTCCCAGGCAGGTGTGGAATCAGAATGAGAAAGCAAAGGTGTTGAAAGCATGGGAGAGAATCATTTGACCTGGCTCATCATGAGATCTAGCCTGGATAAGAAAGGAGGTAAAGCTGATAGTTTTTGGGAGTGGATGAGTTTAAAGAACAAGTTTAGGATGAGTGAGAGAAAGAACTTGAGATGAGGCCTTGAAAAGGACCTCTTTATTTACAAAAAGTATTTGCAACAGTCATGATTTGGGTAACCAGGGACAAGCATTGGTTGAACAAGAGAAATCCAATTCAACATGCATTTTTGAGAACCCATTATGCAGAACAAGCACTTCAGGAAGTACAGGTTAAACATTTCTTCTCCAGGGGTGATGTGTATAATGATTCATTTTGTCCTCAGCGTCATTCTTCACAAAGCCAACCAGATCCATGGATATAGTTTTTCATGTGAAGTTGAACATTCTAGTTTGAATATGTTCTCTTCACTTGTCCTGAAAAGATATTGCCCCCCCAAAGATGTTTAGATTAAAGGTAGAGGTAAGCATAAAACAAACAACAACAAAGCAGAGAGGAAGGGTAGGAGTGGGTTAAAGCCAGAGAGCTATATCCAGTAGGCAAGGATGGCATGATCTCCTAGTATCTGGGAATCCTAGGATAGGTGTGGCCTTAGTTTATAGTGAGAGCACTTCTAAAAAATCCAAGATGAGGCCCTGGCCAGTTAGCTCAGTTGTTTGGAGCATCGTCCAGATATGCCAAAGTTGTTGGTTCAATCCTGGGTCAGAACACATATAGGAATCAACCAATGAGTGCATAAATGAGTGAAACAACAAATTGATTCTCTCTTTCTCTCTCAAATCAAGCAATAAAAATAAAAAAAAAACTCAGGTGAAGAATTATTTTTTTTGGAAAAATTTTTGGATATAGCTCAAGAATTTCAGGCCCCTGGATCTTGGTTTTTGTCTTTGAAGAAAAGCTAGACTCTAAGCTCCATTAAGGTAGGAACTGTGTTGGTCTCGTTACTTTTGTTTTTTTATGTCTATCGTTTACCGTAGTGTCTGACATATAGAACTCAACAAATGTTCTCTTTGCTCCCTACAAGTTACAGCTTGTTTAGAAGCCCCAAACTCTACTGGGGAACCAATATCTCCTGTAGCAGCCCATGAGGTTAAGAGTTCCTGGCCTAGTTATGAGAGTCATTGTATGCAGGAAGTCTAAAGCTATGCCTTCCCTCTTGATATTTGTGGTTCATTCACAGAACCCCCTGTCCAGTCAAGCATGCCTTTTCCCATAAACAGTATTGCCTGGTTACACAATTGACATTCCAATATTAGCAATTTTTAGGGTACAGAGCTACAAATTAGTTCATAGAAAGGATTTTCTTAGCCTTTACTCATATCCTGTGCCTAGAAAAATAAAAACTCAAGAAATTCTTTTAATTAAAGCAAATATATTTCTTTTCTTTCTTTTTTTAAAAAAATGTCTTTATTGATTTCAGGGAGAGGAAGGGGGAGGGAGGGAGAGAGACAGAAACATCAATGATGAGAGAGTCATTGATCAGCTGCCTCCTGCACGCCCCCTACTGGAGATTGAGCCTGAAAGTTGGGCATGTGTCCTGACCAGGAATCAAACCCTGATCTGGACCATACATCGATGCTCAACCGCTGAGCCATGCTGGCTGGGCACAAATATATTTTTTAAAGTGAGCTAAAGTGTTTTCTATATATTAAAAACATAAAAATAAATATATAATAATATATAAAATATATTCTTTTAAAAGAAGATACACTCACTTCCCACAGTGTTAAGTAATAATAATAATAATAATAATAATAATAATAATAATGTATCCTTATTAATTGTGGGAAACCAGTAGCTGGAATGCTAGGAGCTTTGGGAGTTATTTTGGATTATCTGGGAAACCTTTCAAAAGTCACAGCCAATGGTTAGCACCTATCATGGCTTTACTCTTATTGAGAATGATTAAGCCTAATAGTCATAAATATTTTTTCCAATTACCTGACATGCTTAATACCTTTTTTTCTCTGGTCATATTTTTCTCTTGGTCATTTTGGAAAAATTTTATTTAATTTTTAATTTTTATTATTTAATGCTGATCATTTTATTTTAAAAAATTTATCTTTATTGTTGAGAGTATTACAGATGTCCCTCTTTTTCTCCCATTGATCCCCTCACCAGGCATTTCTCAATGAATTTTCCTTTCCTGCCTCCAATAAGGAACAGTGACCTCAATATTTCTACTGTTGAAACAGTGAAAATCACATATCAGTAAATGTAGAAGATAATATATCAGAAACTTCTCAATTTTGTTTAGCTTAAAAATAACATATTCTAAGGCTTTTTGGCTAGCAGATGTGGTGTGCGCACACAGAAGGCATAAAACCAAATGAGATAAAATTTTTATGGATTATGCGCTTTGAGCCCATTTTGCTCATCGAGTGGCATAGCTTCCTACAAGTATGTTCTCTTATTTCTCTACAAGATCAAATAAGGGACAGCTATGGAGAGGAGTCTCAGATAATGCTAGAAAGTCATTCTTTGGTGCATTGAGCCTGTGTTAGCTCAATGGCAGGACAAATACCAGCAACCAAGTTCCAGAGAGTTTCCTTTTCTAACAGATCCATTTCCGCTCCCATGAAGGTCCCATTATTCCATGTATTCCTCCCTTATAATTATGTTGAACAGTTGGGATGGAGTTCCTTTCCTGGAATCCTTTCCATGGTATCCATCAACCCAACTGGGCTCACATGAACCTCTCTACGGGATAGTGGGATTTCAGATGATGAACCACTCTATGTCTAGGATTACAAGTCTCCTCCCAAAGAAGTCTACTGTAGATGGTAGTGGTGCTGGTGATATGTTTTACCTATACTTATTTAAATGACAAGAATAGATACTAAAGTCAGCTTAAGCACTGTTAGTGAGCAGGGTCACTAAGAACAATACAGTGAGAATGAAGAATTCTCACCAAGTCATCAGGAAAAAACCTCTTCCTCATACCTCCCAGGAAGGGGAGCTCATACTAAGACAAGGAGAGGGAGTTTAGGGTGTCAAGGGGTGAAACATTAGAATAAATCATAAGTCCTCTTACCTCACTGGGTTTTGAGGAAGGGCCAAACCTGCTGGAAAGTGTAAAAGTCTCAGACTCAGATTTAGGTTTCACCATGTTTCTAAACCACATTCGAACCTGGAACAAGAAATACCAGGATGGTTTTTGTTAATATTGGAGAAGAGAAAAGGCAGAGTCGGGAAGAGGAAAGTGACATTATGAAAAATTTTTTTCCTATAAATGTGGTTTATACACACAATAAAATGTTTCTTAGCCTTAAAAAGGAATGAAAGTCTGACATATGCTACAACATGGATGAATCTTGAAGACATTATGCTGAATAAAATAAGCCAATCACAAAAGGACAAATACAGTATGATTCCACATATATGAGATCTTTGTAATAGTCAAATTAATTGAGACAGAAAGTAGAGTGGTGGCTGGCACCGTTCTGTGTGGCAGGGGAGAATGAAGTGTTATTGTTTAATGGGCACAGGGTTTCAGTACCCATTCTAGAGAGGGTTGGTGGTGATGGCTGCACAGCAATGTGAGTGTACATAATGCCACTGACCTGTAAAATTAAACATGGTTAAAATGGTAAATTTTATGTTATGTATATTTTACCATAATAATATTTTTCATTATGGATACAGCTTTGTTGTAGAAAACTTACAAAATATGCTTCTGCAGAGGAAGAAAATAGAAATCACATATAATTCCTTAATCTAGTGAAAGATAACTGATGTTTTGGTGGTATCCTTCCATGTGACTTGGTTTGGGATCCCTCGAAGCAGACCCTGAGACAGGGTTCAAGTGTAAAGAGTCCAGCCCGGCCAGGCGTGGCTCAGTGGTTGAGCATCGACCTAGGATCCAGGAGATCAGGGTTCGATTCCCGGTCAGGGCACATACCCAGGTTGCGGGCTAGGCAGCCAATCAATGACTCTCTCATTATTGATGTTTCTATCTTCTCTCTCCCCCTCCTTTCCTCTCTCTGAAATCAATAAAGATATGTTTAAAAAAAAAAAGAAAAAAAAATGAGTTCATTTGAGGGGTGATCTCAGGAAACACTGGTATATCAGTGGGGAAGTGAGATCGGGAAGGGAAGGCAGTCAGTAAAAAATACCTAATCCTTTCCATTGTGTTTCCACTGTGGACAACTGGGGAGCTCTGGGAGTTAGCATAGGAAACACCTCAGGGTCATCCCACCTCAGGGACAAGGAATCTGGACATTTATCTACCAGCTCCCATCAGTCATTAGTTGATGGCTGCTGTCAAGGGCCATTACTGTCTGGAACCACCAGCTTGTCCTGTGTGCGGGCCAGGCATGTCCTGTGGGCAGTAAAAAGCTCATGGGCATAAAGTCACAGGTTTTTGCAATAAGCAACCCTAGGCATGTAGAGATGAATGGCAAAGGGATATGAGGGGGCCATGAACAGTATCTGCTACACCAAAGTTTCCAGCCTTGGCACTATTGACAACTTGGGTTGGATCATCCTTTGTGGTGGGGACCGTCCTATGCACTGTAGGATGTTTAACAACATCCTTGGCCTCTACCCACTAGATGCCAATAGCACCCCTCCCCCAGTGTGACAATCAAAAAGTCTCTAGGTATTGCTAAATATGCCCCTCCAGGGGGATTGTTTGAGAACCATGTGCTTTGCCATGTACACCCATACCTACACACAAACAAATGCATAACAACAACATAAACAATAAATGTTTATATACATTATGTAAACAAAATGCAGCCCTTCTGGAACAATGTTTTGAAATTTGTTTTTTCCTAATATATTTTGAATATCTTTCCAGTCCTAAATATTCTTGTGCTTGGACAAAAATTAACATTTGAATGTTTCAAGGCTATGCTCATCCTTTGCTCTCCAGGAAGTGATGGCTCTGTCAGCTCAGTTTCTTCCTCTACCTCAGTCACTGAGGAGGTGTTCTTTCCTAAGTTGGTTCTTTGGGCACTTGAATGAAGAGTGAAGAAAAAAAGGAGGAAGGGAGGGAGGGAGGAAAAGAAAGAGGGATGGAGGCAGGAGGAGGGGGAGAGAGAGGAGGAGGAGGAGGAGGGGATAGTAGTAGTAACAGGAAAGAAAATGTATCAGTCAGGACATGTTTTGCTGCAGTAACAAACAATCTCAAAATCTTAGTGGTTGAACTCAACAAAGGGATACATGGACTATGTGTCTTCTTCATGGTATTTGAAAAGTACAGATAAAGACCTTGAGTGATTTTGTATTTTTTCTGGTTGCTGGGCTATGTTGGCCATTGTACCTCCTGACCTGGACCATGTGGATCCCAGCTTCATTGGGGTTTCAGTCTTTTACAACATTACATTTCATGGTTGCATAGTATCCTATTCTAGAGATGTAGTATAATTTAACGAAATCTAGGTAGAAGTATGTCAACCTAGTTTGATAGTATACAGTAGGGTTTCATCGTGTCTGGGGTTCAATTCTAGAGACAACATGCAGTCCAAATGATCTGAGTGCCCCTTAGTAAGGTAACACTTAGAGGATTATCTCAACAAGACTAAAGCAGCCAGTATTTACCAACTGTCAGACACACACCACTGTTTCTTTTGTTCAGCTGCAGAAACATGACTGGGCTTGTATTTAGTAGTCACACTGAATATAAAATATCTTGAAAAACTGGAAGGTCACACTATGAGATGCCTTAGGAACTGAGATGAACTGAGGGAACAGTACATATAAGTCTTTTGCATTGTGCTCACTCAGGTGCGTACACCCTCCGAGAAGAGTTGTTTACAGTTTTCTTTGACTATGCATGTAAGCTACAGTGGCTTATATAGAGATGGATAAATGGATGGATAGAAGGATGGATATATTGATAGATGATGTAATAAAGTATAGCACAATGTCAGTCTAGGTGACTGGTACACAGCAGGTCCTTGAATAACGTATCATTCAATGTCATTTTGTTATAACGTTGATGAGATGCTGTAGGAACTTAACTCTTGTTTATACCAATTAGCTTGTGGTAAAACTGGTTTCATTTTATGTCATTTTGCTTAAAGTTGCAGAACTTAATATCAATGTTAAGTGAGGACTTACTATATATGTGTTTCCTGCATAATTCTTTCAATGTTTTGTATGTTTGAAAATGTTTATAATAAAATGTTGGAAAAATTAACTTATGTAATGTCATTACATAGAGCCACTAAAACGTTAGTATGGAGACTATACTACTACATGGAAATGTGTTTAATAATTCATATGTTTAAGTAGTATGCTAAATTGCATTATTGATCTTAATTATTCATTCTCCTGAAACAGTATTATACCCTGTCTTAGCCTCATGGTGAGTGCAGGAGTCTTCTCCTTTGACTTGGGGCTTGGACATATGACTTTCTTTTGCCAATGGAATATCAGTGGAGGTGGTGCAAGCAGAATCACAAGGCTTGAAATGGCCTTGCCCATCAGGGCTTTGCTTCTTGTGACTTTGCCATTGTCATGAGAAGAACTTATTTTGGGAAACTGCTCCCTTTTCTCCCAAGCCTCGGATGAGTCACCAAGAGCAGATCTGACTATACCTGCATTGTATAGCCAAGCCAAGCTAAGCCCAGCCAAGATTGTCTAAACTCCAACCAACCTGCAGATTTGAGAATGAGAACAGTAAATATTTGTGTATAAGCCACTGAGATTTTTGAAGTTGTTTGTTAACATAGAAATAGCTGACAATTACAAATAGGAAAGCTGAAGAAAAACATATTTCCTTGATATAGTAATTATTTACTTTATGAAGGCCATTAATAAATTGACATATCACAATCAATAGTATCTCAAAGTAGATAGAACATAGGTATTATTTACACACTGCTCACAAGTTCATATGAAAATTTAGAACATGGATCTAAATGTTCACTAAACTACATACCTGCAAGTTTTTCTTAATGTTAAAACAATTAAGAAAGGGGCAAATGTTCACCTGCTGGCTGAGGAGGCAGTAGACCAGGAAAATGAAGAAGCCCTGCAGGCTATTGATGATGGTGAAGAGGTAAGCCATGACCCAGGCAGCTGGGCCTACCTGCAAGATGCCCAGACACCACGTGCAGCCCAGGATGAAGACCTGAGCTATTGCTTTCAGGGTCAGCATCCTGAGGGGAGTAAAAAATGAAAATGTATAAAAGCTGATAATGGATTTGGACAGTCCTATAGAGTAGTTGTTAAGGGTGAGGACTCTGGAGCTAGACTGCTTTGGTTTAAATCCAAGGCAGCACTAATCAACTGTGTGACAGTGGGAAAGTTACTCTGCCTTTCTGTAACTAGGGCCCCTCATCTTTATAATAGTCCTATTTCATAGGTCTGCTGCAAAGATTAAATGAGACTTTAACGTATGTATTTAGGATAGTATATAGAATAAAATCAGTACCACATGTACATAAAGCACTCTAAAACTAGGGGCTCTTTATCTCCTTCTCTTTTATAGATGGAGGGTCATAATTTGTTATTCAAACAGGGAGGCTTTTGAGATAAAAAAGTGTGCTATTAATAGTTACAGTGGGTCAACAGGCATATGTGGGACTGTCCCAGGCAAACTGAAATGTGAGGTGACAATAATGTTTTATGTGAGAAAGCTGGTTGAGAAACGATTTGTATAGTGTGTTGGCTATTGTATGTGTGCTTGTCTGTCTGTTTTATAGAAATGCACAGAAAAAGGTCTGGGGAAAATATCACACATATTATATCATACTTATCATAAAGTTTGTTAACTCTAGTTTTCTTGGGAAGTGAAAGTATCACCAAAAGGGGGAGTTAGCCATTTTCACTTTATATATTTTGAAAAAATTTGAAAAAATTTATCGTGTTATTTTTGTGATTAAGATGAAAACAGCAGCCCAGCTGGTGTTGCTCAGGGGTTGAATATCTACCCATGAACCAGGAGGTCACAGTTTGATTTCCAGTCAGGGCCCATGCCTGGGTTGCACACTCAGTCCCCAGTGTGTGTGTGTGGGGGAGGTGCAGGAGGCAGCAGATCAATGATTCTCTCATTGTTGATGTTTCTATCTCTCCCTCTCCCTTCCTCTCTCTGAAGTCAATGAAGATATATATTTTTAAAAAAAGCAAAATAAAAAAAATGCTCATAGCCCCCAATTTTTTGAAATAGTATTATACAAAAGATATTTTAATTTAAATCCTTTCCAAACCCATTACACAGAACTCTTAGATATATATTTGTTTGTTATAATTAGCCAAATTGGTCACCACCAGTGAGGTGAACCCAGTTTTTTTTTGGCATCCTTCAGAAGCGTAACTTGCTCTGGCTGACATTGCTCAGTGGTTAGAGCATTGTCCTGTGCACCAGAGGGTTTTGGGTTTGATTTCTGGTCAAGGGCATGTACCTGGGTTGCAGGTTTGATCATTGCCCCCCGTCCGGATGTGTTTGGGAGGCAACGAATCAATGTGTGTCTCTCTCACATTGATGTCTCTCCCTCTCTCTCCCTCTCTCTCTCTCTCTCTCTTTCTCTTTCTCTCCCCCTCTCTGCTCCCTTCTACTCTCTCTAAAAAAATCAATGGAAAAAAATATTCTCATTCCTTGGGTGAGGATTAAAAAAAAGCGCAACTCTTAGAGTTTCTATAGAATTTAAGCTCTCAGTAACTGATGGATTAACAAACTTAAGCTGGTTGGTTTTGATAAAAAAGGGTACTTCTGTGTGCATTTTCTATTGTGTGGCAGGAACTGCTATTTTGTCCATTCTCCTCCTCTTTCTTTTAGGGTTAGATCCCTTCCCTCTTTGAGTTTTTTCAACGACATGTGGCTACCTAGTTAGAGACTGTATTTCCTATCTTCCCTTGAAGCCAGGTGTCACCATGTGACTAAGGTTTAGCCAATAAGATATGAGCAAATGTGGACCATGCAAAATCCATGTCACCTCCTTCCCATGGATGAGAAACTGCGAAAGAATGGCCGAGGAGTGAAATAGAAAGAACCTGAGTCTCTGGATCACTCTGTGGAGCAGAGCTTCCCCACTAGCCCTAGACTGCTCACCTCTGGACTGTGACATGAACATAACATAAGCTTCAATTTCACTCTTTTCTTGGGGGGGGTCTTTTTGTCTCAGCAGCTTAGCCTGCACTCTAGCTAATACAAACATTGGGAGAAGACAGTGACTTTGCTAGTCCCTGGAGCCTGGTGGCGGGGTGTGTGTGTGTGTAGATATATAACAAAGACAAGAAGGGGGTCAGGAGAGGAAGAGAGGGTTAGAAGTACCATTTGTTTCATCTCACCTTGTATTCTGGATGGTTGACACTTCATGGTTGAGGGAGGAGAATTTCTTCTTCAAAATCCAAAGGACCAAGAGAAGAAATACTAAATTCACCTGCAGGAATGATGCAGACCAGGAAGAATGCAAGTTAAAATAATGTACTATGTCTATTATAAATTTCACACAACTCCTACTTTCCCGCACACGGGCCTGAATTGGTAGCAGTGGAAAAACCAAACCATACAATAGAGAAAATGCATGCCCCGTATACGGTCCTGCACCCAGCCCTCCTGGTGCTTCTTTGGTCAGGACCACTGGAGCCACATACTCACACAGATAATAGCACAGACTGGACCAAGGAAACCCCAGATGAATCCTTGTTTCAGGTGTAGCCAACAGCTGGGAACAATGGGGAAAGGGACACAAAGAGAGATCAGAGAAAGCACATGAAACTAGCAGGAAGTGACCCTTTTGCTAATAGAGAAACTTTCCGATGTCTTCTGAAAATGCCAGCTGATGGCAGGGAAGGCTTTGATTGTCCACTCCCACGTGCTGATGCTACATTGAACATTTTATGAGTACAGTCCTATTGAATTTTCATACCAGCATGATAATGGTGGGACAATGGGGATAATTATCCCTATTTTGCTAAAGAGGAATCTGAGACTTGAAAACTCCAAATTATGGGAGAGATAAAGCTATTACCTAACCACAAAACTCCCTCCTTTCAGAACTTTCCAAGCTCTTACTGTCACCTTTCCCTGCTTCATTGGAGAAAAGGTCAGAGCTCTTACACTCAAGGGAAAAGTAGAGTGCATTTCCTATGGATATCTCAATTACCATAATTAATTCTGCCCCCCAAACTGTTCATGGCACAGGGTGTGAGTCAAGCTCACCGATCAGTTGTTCCATAAAGGTGAGGCCTGGATGCTGCACAAATGGCCACAATAACAGCTGGGACTCCATAGCCGACCGGGAACATGAGCCATTTCATGAGTCTGTTCGCACCGGAGTAGTTTACCACAGTCAGGTTGCGTGCGGTGAGGAAGAGGTGTAGGCCCTCCAGCAGCATCCAGGTGAAGGAGGCCAGGTAGAGATAGTGTAAGGCACCTGCGATGATGGCGCACAGCTCCTGGGGGAGAAGCAAGAGCCAGCAGGTAGGATACTTGGGGTGGAGTGTGAACTGAGAGCCTCTACTTTATGCTGGCACTGAGTTTAGAGCACCTGACATTAGACCAAGGTCATCAAAAGTAAAGGTGCTTGGTAATCAATGTCAGCACCACCCTTCCAACCTCTCCCAGAAACCAAAGCTATTTTATTAAGGTGCCCAGTGCAGCATGGCTCCATGAACTCCACATCCCCTGGGGAGGACCGGGGTCCTTTTGGGACAATGTCAGTACCTTAATCTCTGTTCTGTCTATGGCCGCGAGGAAGAGCAGGTGGGCCAGGAAGAGGCAGAGTGAGAGCTGCAGGTGGAGTGAGGTGCTGGTGTTCTGGATGGCTTTGCACAGCAGGAAGGTGAGGGCCGCCAGGAAGAGGCACAGCAGAGAGAGGCTTAGCCCCACATAGGTGATCACAGCCAGGGCCAGGCTGTCCTCCTGGGACCCAGAAAAGAGGAGGTATCAGTCATAGTTTTCTATTCTGAGTTATGGTTTGCACTCCTTGGAATAGGGAATTTTAAACACAGGTACAAAGCTGGATGATAGAGTATGAGAGGTGTCTGTAAGACTAAGTCTCCCCCCACAACTTTATTGAGGTCTATCTAATATAAAAAATATTGTACATATGAATGCATACATTTTTATTTATTTATTTTAAAAATAGATCTTTATTGATTTCAGCGAGAGGAAGGAAGAGGAAAAGAGAGAGACAGAAACATCAATGATGAGAAAGTCACTGATTGGCTGCCTCCTGCACCCCCCCAACTTGGGCAGTACCCTGACTGGGAGTTGAACTGCGATCTCCTGGATCCTAGGTCAATGCTCAACTGCCGAGCCACAGCTGGTTAGGCGAGTGCATATGTTTTGATGAGAATTTGAACATAGGCATATATCCATGCTATCACCCCCACTATCAAGGTAATAAATATATCCATCATCTCCAAAAGATTTCTTGTGTCTCTTGCTTTTTAAACAATTTGTGGTAAGAACACAACATGAGATCTACCCTTTTAGCAAGTTATTAAGTGTACAACCCCCTACTGCTAACTGTAGCTCTATGTTGTACAGTGGAATTCAAGTTGAAATGAATGAGTATGCCAGACTCAGTATGCACTCAAAGAGATGCAGGAAGTCCTGTGTAGCAGAGGCTGCTAACCTCTTCACACCCACCTGTACCTGCCCTTTGGCTGCTTTCTGTGAACTCCAGTGACTCTGCCTGATGGCATTTTCCCTGTCACGAGAGCATGCTTGGACACACCAGGGCGAGCCACAAGTGCCAGGTGTTTATGCCCCTGGAAGCTGCTCTCAAACAAGAACAGTTGGGGAATTGGTAGATAAATACCCCAGCTTGTTCCACCTCTTGTGGGAAGACTCTGAGGTGGATGTCCTATGATATCTCCCAGAAGTACCCAATGGGATTGAGCCCCAGTTGTCCATGGGGTAACTTTCTCTTTGATGCATCCTTTCCTGGCTGTCTTCTTTTCTCTGTCTCACTTCCCTACTGTCCTACTGATACTTCTTGGGCTCACCTCCCAGAGAAACTACTTGCCCTCAAATTCTTGCCTCAGAATTTCCTGGTGGGGGCCCCAAACTATCTAATTCAGCTCTTGAGGACTCATCTCATTAAAGACAGGGGCTGGGGATCTGATGAGCCATACAGACTTAGCCAGACTCACTAATGGGAAATGACACTCACCATCTCTTGTAATTATATGGGGATTTTCGCTTTTTTCAATGTCATTTTATAGAATTTTTAAATCCTTTGTTTTTTAACCTTAGAATTGTGACATATAACACACATACAGAAAAAAAGCACAAAAATCAATCTATCATATGATTAATAATTATTAAATGAATACTGATCATGAACTAACCTGTAGACATTATCCCAGAAGCTCTTCCTAATTGCAAACCACCTTCTCTCCTAGAGGTAGCCATGATCTTTTTGTGGTAAGTTTTACCACCTATGTATTCAAACCCTGAGAATATAATTTAGTTGTGTCTGTTTTCAACTTTATATAGGTGGAACAATACTCTGCTCCACAGGGCCACTCAGAAACCCATGATAACAGAGGCTCCACCATCTTGTAGCTGCACCATCTGGAGTATGTTGCTTCCTCATCAGCCTGGAGGATCCCACATGGAACTGTCTATGCTTCATCCCAGAAAGGTAGCATTGCTTTTAATAGCCACTGACAGGAAGCACTCTAGGTACTCATTTACTGTAGAATGGGTAAGTACATTGTAGTATAGTCATACAAGGGAATATTATACATCAATGAAAATGAATAAACTAAGGCTATGCTCAACTCATGATGAATTTCATAAATGTAACAATAAATGGAAGAAGTATTTTATGTTTTTAAATCTATTTTAGCTTTTCCACTGCCTCGTGTAATAGGAGAGGTCAGAGATTTCCACCAAGTGTTGTTCTGGGGTACCACCTCTATCCCTGAGAAGAGGAGAGGGATGCAGGATTTCCTGTGTGCTGTCCCCAAGCCTATGTCATCAGGAAGTTTTCTGACCCACCTCTAGTATATGTGTCCAGTCTGACCTTCCACCTCCTCTATTGCTGCCACCCAAACCCCAGCCCGCATCATCTCTCTGTGAGTCCACTCTTGACCACTTTTCATTCTTGACCTGAGAGCCAGAGGGATCTTCTAATGACATAAATATGCACCCCTGATAGAAACCTTCCATTGACTCCCCATTGTAATTTGAATGAAATCTAAATCCCTGACATGGCATTCAAGGTCTGGCACATCTCTCTTCCTTCCTCTCTCCAACCTTGTCCCCTTCCAACTCCTCTTATTCACTCTGCTCCAGGCACACTTCTCTCTGGAACACATCAAATTTGTTCTCTCTACAGAGTCTTTACACATACTTGTATCTCTTCTTCAAATACTCTTCCTGAGACCCTTTCTTACTGGCTTTCCCTGCCATTGAGATAAAATCCAAATAACACAAAATTCACCATCTTACAGTGTACAGTTCAGCTGCATTTAGCACATTCAGTATTGTGCAACCACTACCTCTGTGTAGTTCCAAAATACTTTCGTCACCCCCCAAATAAAACCCCATACCCATTAAGCAGCTACCCCCATTCTTTTCTGCCCTCAGCCCCTGGCAGCCACCAATTTGCTTTCTGTCACTATGGATTTGCCTTTTCGGGACATTTCATATAAGTGGAGTCATGCAATATGTGGTCCCTTGTGTCTGGCTTCTCTCACTCAGCATGATGTCATCCACATCGTAGGACTACTTGCTCTAAATAACCAGATTTCAGGTCTCATATTTCATCCCCCTCTGACCAGTCTATCTAAAGTGGCACACCTCTCTAGTCACTCGGGTCCCTTGCTCTTTTTCATTTTCTTTATAGGACTTATTGAACCTAGTAGGGGCTCAGAAAGTATTAGCTAGAGGAATTAAATGATTACATCATACCTGGCTGGTGGTGGCCATGAGTATGGCGAAACTGGACAAATGAGTGCAGCTGCATGTGGTGTGACTATTGTTCACTTGCACCAGGACACAGCCGTCCGTGGACCAGTGGCCGCCCTTTGTGCTTTCCCAGAAGACACAGAAGGCCTTTTTGCTCAGGGGCTTCATCTGAAAATAGAATGAGATCATCATGTCCTTGCTCAGGAGGAACATCTCTCAGAGTGTCGGTCTTGGCCAGAGTGGAGAATGGGAACCATGGCTGAGACTCAGCGGACTTCTATTTTAAGTGAAGAGGGTGGCCACCTGGACAACTGCTCCCATAGCCCCACCTCTATTGGAATTTCACAAAACATAAAACAGGGTCATCTCTTTCTGTGGGAGACAGAATATTCCAAAATGTCACTGATTTTATGACTTTGTCCCCTACCATGGGAATCAGACAAAAAGAGTACAAGGCTCACACAAAGTTTTCTCTCAAACACTCTCCAAGTCAAATTTTCCTGGTGCCCCCCCACCCCTGAAAACCCCACCAAAACACAAAAAACAGATTTTCCTGGTCCCTTCACACCAATTCTGTCCCTGACAACAATACGATAATTGCTCATGCGGTGAGAGGGTTAGTATAGGGAAAGAACATCACCAGGAAATAGAGACTAAAACTAGCCTTCAACTTCTCTTTGTCTCAAGAGCTACTGGAGTAACAGTTCATGGGAGCAAGGAGGTGAGTCAGATGCTCTCCTGTTTGGGGCCTGTATTTCCTTTGATAACCCACTGGGCCATTCCTGGATTTCTTTCTCCACTCCATCTGCCCTATGCTATACATCAAAAATTCCATACCTAGATTTTATGCATCGGATAGAGAACACCTACATTTCCCTACCTTTCCCCTTTAACTCTTGTTTTCTTAAATTTTTATTTTAAAATTAGATTAATTTTTCTAGTTTTATTGAGACACAATTTACATAGAACATTGTCTAAGTTTAAGGTGTAAAATGTAATGATTTTATACACACACACACACACACACACACACACACATAGTGAAATGATTACCACAGTAAGGTTAGTTAACATCCATTACTTTACACAGTTACAATTTTTATTTTGTGGTGAGAACTTTTAAAATCTACTCTCTTAGCAATTTTCAAATATACAACACAGTAATTATTAACTAGAGTTGCCATGCTGTACATTACATCCTCCAGAACTTACTCTTCTGATAACTGGAAGTTTGTACCCTTTGATCACCTTCACCTATTTCTCTCACCCTCAACTCCTGGCAACCACCAATCTGTCCTCCATTTCAATGAGGCTTTTGTTTGGCTTTGTTAGATTTCACATATGAGTACAATCATACGGTATTTGTCTTTCTCTGACTGACTTATGTCACTTGGCATAATGCCCTCAAGGTCCATCCATGCTGTCACAAATGGTAAGATTTCCTTCAGTTCTTATTTTCTTAACAGAAATGAATGGGGAAGGAGCAAACAAATTTTACTACATCTCTGTCTGGCTATTACTCCTCCTGTCTTTGTTTGGTCAGAGAATGGGAAAAGGCAATGGATTAAATAGAAGGTTTTTTTCTGATTGAGTTATATAGTCTTAATAATGAATATTAGCTTTCTGTGCAGAAATGAATATTATATCTCAGTTCAAATTTCACAGATGTAGGAGGTATCTGCCACTCAAATAATTCTATGCACTAGAATAACGCTGCCCAAGAAAAATAGCATGTGAGCTGCTTATGTAATCTGAAATTTTCTACTAGCCACATTAAAAAGGTAAAAAAAAGTCAAATTAATTTTAATGATATATTTCGTTTAACTCACCATATTCAAAATAGTGTACTTTTTATTTTATAGATTTAATACACTTAAATTTTAATTCAAGTAAAATATTGTAAATATCTAATATATTGCATCCCTGCAGAGCATATATATGTCTGGTTATGACATAATTCGGTAGGATGATGCTCTAGAATGATTTCTCTTAATATGCCAATAAAAATCAATATAAAAATTATTAAGAAGATAGTTTGCATGCTTTATTCTTATTAAGGTTTTGAAACAAATGGCAAAAGATTATCTTCCTATTATTTAAAATAATCTCTTCTAAGGTCTCTATTATTTCCCCAAAGTTCCCCTTAATTTTTCACTCTATTCTAATTTCTTCTCTGCCACGCTCTCTCAACTCTCCTTCTCCATCACACGTCCACCATTTCTCTTTTTCTATAGAGCAATTTTGCTTGCTCTTGGCTCCTCTAATGTGCATACTGATCAGGAGTTAGCAAGCTATGGTACCCCGTGACCACATGGGACTCATCATCCCTCACTGTGTTCACGCCTTCCTTATCTGTCTCCCTGGTCCCATCCTTTCCCCTTACTTTTTATTACTGTATTCAACAGCTTGATCCATTTCTTTTATCTTGCTTTCATAGGAAAATCTGTGCCACCCGGGACTACAGAGGTATTACAGAGAAGATCATTGAAAAGCCATAGTGGCAAATGAAGGGAAAATGAAAGGAGGTGACTTGATTTCTCACCATCTCGTCCCCTTTCATCTGCTACTCGTCATTCCTCCATCTAGACTCTGATAAATAGAGTTTCTGTTATAAACTAATTATTCATTAGTGAAGTGTGGTGAGAGATCAGGGAAACAAAGGTTTAGGATAGTCTGGATGATAAATGCCAAAACAAAGTTCCTGTCTTCAAGGATCACCCAGTATAGTGAAACCATCACATTTTAAGAATGCTTAATAGCTACAGGTAGCTCCTGGCTACCATATGGGACAGCACAGGTCCAGAACCACTGACTGGGAGGCTATGCAAATCGTTCCATCTATGTCCCTGAAACCCAAGCAAGCTCCAGTTGCAGATTTGACCCACCTCCACATGCTGAAAACTCAGAATCACGGGTTTGGAGAGAGAGATGCTCCTTTTGGGTCCAACAGCAACGCTTACTACCCGGGACTTCAGGTAAACTTCATCTTTCTTATTTATCTCATCAAAAAAAGTTGCATTTATGATATTTCCAAGAGAAGAGTATGAAATAAAGGCAACTGCACTGGGACCTGAGGAAACAGAAAAATAAAGTGCCACCACCATTCCTTCTGCCCCCTTCCCTGCTCCACACGTATCATGCTCCCATGATGGCCACACTTGTGCTCAGGTATGTCTAGTAAGTTCACTCTTCCTCCCATGCTCTTCCTCCCCAAATCCAGCTCATCCTCAAGACCCAGCTCAATCCCCCTCCAGCTCAGGAAGTGTTGTGATGCTTCTTTCTCTGAATTTGTATTTCAGGTGCAGCCCCTGCCATGTCCATGAGAATGCAACTGTCCACTAATTATTTCATATGGATTGAGCTCTGTTTTTCCAACAAGAATTACATTTCTTGAGTAGTTATGCAGGACACTTCATTTGGAAACCACAGGGCTCCCAGCACAGTGCCAAACATCTCCTTTATTTCCTAAAAAAGTTTAAATTATATTTTAGACACTCAGAAAAGTATAAGTAGTTAAGAGTCTAAGGGCTGGGAAATATGCATCTCATTTTTCTAATCTAAAGCCTGGATTACTCACTCTTGCTAGGATTATGTGAACATGAGGAGCCTCTCAGATACTCAAACATTGGGTCCTGACATTTAAAATGATCTAATCTTGCATTTTATTAAAAATACAGTATGACTTTGCTCTTCTCTAATAATCTTACTAGATTTCTTTAAAATCCTACTGTGGCTAACTTTATTTCAGAAAGAGGAAAATCCATTACTATATGTTGATCAGCTCTGTAAGATCTTAGCTCAGTATTAACCACCAGATCATTTCTTTTTTTAAGAGGGTTTGCTTGCAGGTTGAATTCTTAATGAAAGATAGTGTCTGTTAAATGCTGTTTTCCACTACTGATCATCTGTAAGTATAAGCCTGAGAAAGACCTCTATTAGCAAATTTTCCTTACATTTCAGAGAACAAGTCATCTGGGGCAGCCTTGTGAAGTGCAATGAGAATTTATCACTGAACAGACAAATAATTTATGTCAAAAATACAATTTAAGTGTAAATGGCTCAGGCTTAAAATCACTTATTTATTAAATACCTATGCAAGTTGTTACCTCAACTGTTAATGTAATTATATACCTCATTAAAGATTTATGTGTTCAAGGGAAGAAAAGGAGTCTAAGGGCAAGAACTGAGTTTCTGCATTTAAATCCCAGTTTTGCCACTTACTAGCTCCACAGTTCCTCTAATCAGGCTTCTCTGGCCTCATTCCAGGGGTCAGAAGTAGGAGAGCGCTTCTCTTTCTCTAAGTTAATGGCAATTTCTGTTGTCAGAATCAAACACTGGTAGGTGGTTGGAAAACATCAGCAGCTGATAAGTCTGTCTGTTCTTATGCCTGGAAATTGCTTATTTTTGAGCTGAAATATCCTGGCACAAGAGCAAAGCACAAGTAGAAGGAGAGGAGAGGCTGTCGAGGTTTCCAAGTTTGGTCTCCGTGGCCTGTGGTTTTGTTCTGTGAGATGGTTTATGGGAGGGAGGGTGTGTCACATCTCCAATTACCTATGAAGTCCCAGTTCACACCTGGTGTCCTGGTGTGATTTAATAGCACCCCCTTCCTATCTTAAAATTGTCACTGTTTGGAAATAAATGACAAGGTTGCTCTAGACCAGCAGTTCTCAACTGAGGGAGATTCTGCCCCCTCAGTGGACACTGGGCAATGTCTGGAGGCATTTTTGGTTGTCACAACTGTGGGGTTGCTATTGGCATCTAGTGGGTAAAGGCCAGGGATGCTGCTCAGCACACTATAGGGTCCCCACCCCAGAGAATGACGTGGCCCCACATGTCAATAGTGCTGAGGTTGGGAATCTAGAAAGAACCTGAAGGACAGAGAAATGTCCCTCTATAACATTAGTGGGTTCTTTGTCACAAACCCATCAGTGTGTTCTTTTTTCTCATTAGTAATGTTAAGGCGTCAGCCTAAATGTGGATTTAATTCGCTGAGCATTTGTTATTGTTATCCAGGTAAGGTGCCTATAGAGAAAGAATTAATGGTTCCGATCCTGAAAGGGATCCCAGTACAGTGAAGGAGACAGGGCTGTGTCAATCGACAGACAACACAACACAGTAGATGCCCGGATAAGGTAGGCTCAAGATGCTGGGGAGGGGGTTGGAGCACAGAGGAGGGAGGGCCTGACTCTGGTGTGGTGATGAAAGTGGGCAATCCTGGGAGGAATCATGGACCCGGTGAAAGTTGAGCTGTGTTAAAAGAAGAGTCAAAGTTCACCCAGTGAAGTGATGGTTGGCATTTCTGGCAGAGAAACAGCCAGTGCAAATGCTGGGGGGTGGGACCACAGGGCCCATTAGGGGATAATAGTCTGCTGCTCTGCATGTCTATGCCAGGTGCTCCTCAAAGCACATGGAATCACACAGCGATGTCTGTAATTTACTTAAATAATTCAGCATGGACAGTTGTTATGGGCTGAGCTGTGTCCTCCTAAATCTGTATGTTGAAATCCCAACTCCCTGCTCCCCAGAATGTGACCAAGGAGCAAACTGGGCTGAAGATGTGATTTGTGTAGCCTGCACTGTGAAGTCTTGTACACTCTCTCTACAAATTGTGAGTTGCAGAGGAATCCTGTGACAATGCAAGTGTGGTTGGAGGTTGGCTTCCTTCCTCCGCCCGGCTCATTCACAGATGGAGGCAGATTCAAGTACTTACCTTCTCGAGGGAGGAGAGAAAGTGACAGGAACTACTTGTCTCATGAAATTTTCTCAGATCGAAATGTGGTTTGTTGTCTATGTTTTATTGTCTTTACTTTGGGATTTTTGTTGGATAGTATAGACAACTGTACCCATGTTTACATGATTGGATTTCAAGACCCCATTTATCATGCCATAGCAGTCTTAGCTATTTGGCAGTTGTAGTAAATGTATTCTTAGATTTAAAAATTGGAGGTTTTCATGCAAACAACCCAATTTTTGGTTTCTCTTAAAAAAAAAATCAGAGAGTCTTGGCAGTTACAAAATAGTCACAAAGATGTAAAGTCCAATGTAGGGAATATAGTCAATAATATTGTGATAACTATGTGTGGTCAGGTGAATACTAGACTTACCGGGGATCACTTTATAAGTTACATAAATGTCTAACCACTATGCTATACACTTGAAACGAATATAATCCTGAATGTTAACTGTAACTGAAAAATAAAAAATAAAGTATTTGTTCTGTTTCTCTGGAAAATCCTGACTAAAACACTTACTGCTGCTTCCTGGGATCACGTCCTAAATAAACTTAACTGGAACCCCTTACAATTGCTCTAGAAGCTGCTTCTTGATGAACCCAAACAGATTCGGACAGAACAGCCTCCAAATTGCAAAGAAGTCTCTTCCATGCTGAAGAATAGAAAGCTTCCACTTTGGGAAGATGTCTTTTTTTTTAAGGAAAAGGCTCAACTGATACAATCTTAGAGTAACAAACCCATCAGATAGGAACCTATTTGGGATGTTTCCTCATGACTCACACAGTGATATTGCTGTGTGTGTCTTAGGGATTCTGAATGCAGCCACCACATGTACCTTGTATGTTTCCCTGGATGACGTCATTGCAAGAGATGTCCAGTGAGTTCGTATGGACTCTCAGGTTGAAGATCTTTCTTTCCTTGGAGCAACGGTCTGTAACAACTCGAGTTTCAACAGCTGGTAAGGAAAGCACCGGGCAAGCTTACCATTATCATAAGCTTTAAAAATGTGCACAGCAACAAAAACAGGTCACATTTACTGAATGTGTAGAAGGTGCTAAGCACTGGGCTAAGAGCCTTATACACTGTCATGTTATGACAGCATCATATAACCCCATGAGGGACCATTATTCAGAGGAGGAAACAGGTTCAGAAATTAGGGGTCCTCTCTGATGCTTCCGGTTAAGATGGGGGCATAGGTAAACATGGTACTCAAATCCTCCCACAACCACATCAAAAATACAACTAAACTACAGAACAACCATTATTCAGAGTTGCCTGAAATCTAGCTGAACGGAAGTCCTACAACTAAGGATATAAAGAAGAAGCCACATTGAGACTGGGAGGAGTAGCAGAGACATGGAATGGGCTGGTCCCACACCCACATGTGGCAGATAAAAATCAGGAGGGATATCTTGGCTGCAGAGGTCACTCCTGAGGAGCCAAGGGGTCCCAGCCCCACAATAGGCCCATTCGCTTAGGGCTCGAGTGCTGGGAAGAGAAGTCCCCACAACTTTTGGTCGTTAAAAACCAGAGGGAATTGTGCCTGAGTGAGACAGATGGCTGCTGGAAACCCAGGCAGTTCCACTTAAAGGGCCCATGCACAGATTTACTTGTATTCACTCACTCTGAGCTCCAGAGCTGGGACACACAGGGAGCAGGGACACATGGGGAGGAACTGAAGTGTATGGCAACAAGGTGAGAGTGGGAGAGGCAGCTTTCTCCCAGACAGAAGTGCTGGCAAAGCCATTGTTCCTTTTCTGAGCCCTTTTCCCACAGAGCTGGCAGGCGGGCACCATATCTGAGTCTCCAACCTGGCTATCACTGTTTGCCCTGCCCTGGTAATTCCCCCAGAACCTGCCCCACCACTTGCAGGACCACCCAAGCTGTTTCCAGTGTCTTTTCCATACAACTGGCCTCTTTTGCCTCATGCTTCTGACTTTCCTACAATCTCTCCAACAAGCAGCATCTGGCTTTGGCATGCCCTGTACCTCTTGGTAAGTGGCCCCAGGCTCGGCACTAGTGGCAGCTGATGTTGGTTTGCAGCTTGGCCTCTCCTGGGCACCTCCAAGACCAGCACAAGTAGCAGCCATCTGCTGATGGCTTTGTAGCTCATGCCGGTGGTTCTGGGCAGAACACAGGCAGTGGTTGACTTTGGCCTGCACCTCCTGGGAAGCTCTAGAGCCAGTGCATCCTGTGAACAGCTTCAGACCATATCAAAGCACCACCCAACCACCCCTATAAGTGACACACTCAAGGGGCAGACTCTGCAGGCACCAAAGCACTGCTTAAGTCAGTCCCTGTGTGGGGTGGCCTCTGCACAGCTGATCCTCCACAATGGTTGCAGCCAGTCCTTGCAGCTGATCAGCCTGGGGGTAAATCCTTCCCACTAGCATATCAACAGCAATCGAAGCTCAACTACAACAGGAGGGTGTATACAGCCCACAGGGGGGGTGCACCTGGAGTGCCCAGCTCGGGTGAATGGGGAGGCTGTGCCACTGAACCCTATAGGACACATACTACATTAGGCCACTCTATTAAGCCTGGGAGATGTAGCAGCTCTACCTAATACGTAGAAACAAAAACAAGGAGGCTGCCAAAATGAGGAGACAAAGAAACACACCCCAAATGAAAGAACAGGACAAAACTCCAGAAAAAGAACTAAACAAAATGGGGATAAGCAATCTACTAGATGTAGAGTTCATTCAAAACATTGTTTATAAGGATGCTCAATAAACTTAGGGGAGGAGTAGATGAACTTAGAACTTGAACAGCAAAAAAGGGCATAGAAACCAAAAGAACCAGTCAGGAATGAAGGATACACTAACTGAAATGAAGAATAATTTACAGGGAATCAACAGTAGAACATAAGGAAGCAAAAAACACCCAACCAGAAGAGCGAAAAGAAAAAAAGAATTAAAATAATGAGGATAGAGTAAGGAGACTCTGGACAACTTCAAACATAGCAACATTGGCTTTATGGGGGTCCAGAAGGAGAAGAGAGAGAGAGAGAAATGGAAAACCTATTTAAAAAAATAATCATGGAACGCTTCCCTAACCTGATGAAGGAATAGACATATAAGTCCAGGAAGCACAGAGAGTCCCAAACAAGATGAACCCAAAGAGGCCCATAACAAGACACATCATAATTAAAATGCAAAAGGTTAAAGACAAAAAGAGAATCTTAAAAGCAGCAAGAGAAAAGTAGTTAGTTACCTACAGGGAGCTCCCATAAGACTCTCAGCAGAATTCTCAACAGAAACTTTGCAGGCCAGACGGATTGGCTAGAAATATTTAAAGTGATGACAAGCAAAGACCTACAACCAAGATTACTCTACCCAGCAAAGCTATCATTTAGAATAGAAGAAGAGATAAAGAGCTCCCAAGACAAGAAAATGCTAAAGGAGTTCATCACCACCAAACCAGTATTATATGAAATGTTAAAAAGTCTTTTTTAAGAAGAAAAAGAAGAGATAAAGAATATGAACAATAAATGGCATAAATATGTATCTATCAACAATTGAATCTAAAAAAACAAAACAAATGAACAAGCAGAACAGAAACAGACTCATAGATACAGAGAAAATTTTGAGTGAAAAAGGTGAAGGGATTAAGAAGTAAAAATTGGTAGTAACAGAATAGTCATGGGGATGTAAAGTATAGCATAGGGAATATAGTCAATAATATTCTAATAACTATGTATGGTGTCAGACGGGTATGATATTTATTGGCCTGATCACTTAGTGTATTGTATAATGTCTAATCACTGAGGTGTACACCTGAAAGTAATATTGTATGTCAATTGTAATTGAACAATAAAAATGATTTAAAAAAAGAAATTTGGGATTGGGGGTGCCGTGAGAGAGAAAAAAGAAATTAGGTAAGACTCTGAGTACTGAAATCAGGTTATTAAATAACATTCTCTAGTACAACCATTTATAGAAATTTATTCTCAGAACTATCATGGGTGAGAAGGAAGATTTAACTACAAGAAAGTTCGTAGTGGCACAGATGATGATGATGGTGAAAAATGGGAATGATCTAAATGTTTAACAAGAAGGAGTTGATTAAATAATTGATGGCTTATCTTTATAATGGGAAACCATGCTTCTGATAAAGATGAAATCATGGAAGAACTGCAATGAAGAAGCGAGCTCATAGAAATATTTAGCTTAAAAAGAAGACTGGCTGTGTGGGTTGGAAATTGTTGAAGCTGGGTGATGGATGCAGCAGGGTTTTTATTTGGTCTCCTTTTGTATATGTTAAAAAAGTTAAAAAAGGCAAGCAACAAAATAGCATAACAAAATAACCAAGAATGATACTATTATAGGAATATGAAAAAAGAATACTATTTAAACAAAATTTTGTAATAAGGGATGGAAAATAGAATAATCAAAATTGTAGTTACCAGCCCTTTTTCTAAGTGTATTATGCGCTATTATTATCCCATTTTATAGACGAAGAGACTGAAGCTCACTGAGGTGAGGGCACTGGTTACCGATCAAGCAATTAGAACCTGGCCTAATCAGGAGAGATGAGAGTTACTTGCAATTTGGAAAACGGTTTAATTTAGAATGAAAGTGTCCAGATTCCAGTTTCCCAAGATGGTTAGGCACTAGATTTTATTTTATCTTTTGAATTTACTTTCATTCATTATTATTTTTATAGAGCATAAAGTATTTTATCAGCCAAGTTGGTAAAAGAAAAATGGTTAGTTAGGCATACGCCAATCCTTTGCTATCCCTGAGCTGAATAAAAGCACAGCAAGCATTTCTGGAGGCCAATATAGTGATGTGCATCAAAAGTCTCACATGTTTTCTTCCCTTGACCTAACAACTCCTCCTTTATGAATTTATCCTAAGAAAATATCAAACAAATACACGCATACATTTTTAGTGGTCTATATCACAGGGTCATTTGGCAAAACCCCACATTTCCCAGAATAGGAAAATAAATTATGGCACACTCATACAATGCAACTGTATAAACCGCTGAAGACAATAGGTAATGATGTTGTATATAGTTTTCATGGAAAGATGTTAGTGGGATGAGTGAAAAAGCAGGTTGTGCAACCGTATGTAAAAGATAACATATACGACAAATACAGGATGTCCCCCAAAATGTATATGCACTTTAACAGCTGAGAGCTCAATTTTGAAAATTAAATGTGTTTTAATAAACTCTGCCTTTATGATTATTTAAAGTGTGTGTATACATTTTTTTTGGATACCCTATATGTGTCTCTTTATCAAACATATGCCTAACTAGGTGTAGGGTTGGAAGAGTGGGCTGTGGGCAGATTTGGCTTCTCTAAATTTAGTTTTGTTTATGTGTTTTTCCTAATTAAAAAATTAATACTTGGATTTGCTATATTTTATTTTAAAAAATAAAAATTGTGTATATTTAAGGTATATAACATGACTTTACACACATATACATAGTGAAATGATGACCATAGTCAAGCTAATTAACGTGTCATCTCACATGGTTATATAATATGTATGACAAGTGCAATAGGAGGATTTTCATTTTTAAAATATGTTGTAAGATGTTCCTTCCACATGTGCTATTAGGTTATGTAGGCACTAGATTAAAAAAATACTCTTAAACTCAAATCCCAGGCCTGGGATTGGAAACCACTGACAATGGTTTTTTTAAACAGCTCCATGGAGGTGTAATTGATTATACATCAAAGTGTATCAATTTGATGAGTTTTATTGGTGTATACGCCTGTAAAACCACCACCACAATCAAGGTAGTGAGCATCTCCATGCCCCCCAAGTTTCCCCAAATTATCTCATGCCCCCTTTTCTTCCCTCCACCCTCCCCTCCCTGTCACTATAGATTAGTTTGCATTTTCCAGCATTTTATATAATGGACTCATGCAATGTATTTATTTATTTTTCTAATTGCTTAATCCAACTCCCTCTCCTCCCCTCCCTCAGCCAGTTCCGTGTGTATTAGGCCTTATTGTCTCCTTACCCACAGTACTTACCCACAGTACTACTTTGAATTTTCTGGATTTCTTGGTCTGGGGATTTCAAGGCAGATTCTAAGACATCCAATTCCAGAGTCTGGAGAATAGATGTGGCCTTGGATGCGACTTTACTCTTCTCTCCTGATCCCCATAGAGACTTGTTGGTGAGGAGTGACTCAAAATGCTCAAGAACCCGTTGTAGCTTTAAAGATATAAATAATAACAGTCATAATAATTACAATAATCATCATAATCTACTGTAATAAGTCCCCACAACCTCAAGGGACAGTAGAAAACAAGAGAAAGCAGGTTCTGGAGTCAGAAGACCCAGTTCAAATCCTGACTCCACCATTCACTGGCTCTGCAACCTTGGGAAAGTCACTCAATCACTCTGTGCCTCAGTTTCCCCACCTTAGGATGGGGACAGTAATAGGACCCTATAGAGTTTTTGGCAAGATTAAATGAGTTAAGAGAAGCTATGTGTCTGTGCCTGATAAATACAGGACAAGGGTTAATTATTAGGAACCTCTTTTACCAACAGGGAAGTGGTAAGTTTGCTAGAAATAGAGCAGTGTGGTTCTCAGCTTGGGCAATTTTGACCCCCTGCGGACATTTGGTAAAGTCTGGAGGCATTTGTGATTGTCACCACTGAGGGGTGCTCCTGGTATCCAGTGGGTGGAGGCCAGAGATGTTTCTCCACATCCTCTAATGCACAGGATAACACCCCAGGTCCAAGAATAACCCAATCTCGAATATTATAACATTATAATGTTATACAAAGAGAAATTCTAAGGCAGACATAGCTCAGAAGGTACTCTAAATGGCCTTTTTTATTTTTAAAAAGTAAGCTTATTGGGGCGACATTGATTAATAAAATTATGTTTCAAGTGTACAATTCTATGATGCATCATCTGTATTTTGCATTGTGTGCCCACCATTTAAAGTCAAATCTCCTTCCGTCATCATATACTCAACCCCCTCTACCTTTGACTACCCCCTCATGCCCCTAATTGGCCTTTTAAAACCAAGACATTTGTCTATGAAGGATAGGAAAGAGATGGACCAGAGGCTGAAGAATGGGCCAAGGTGAAGGTTTAAAAATGGAAACATAGTTGAGTTAAAAGGCTGTTTTTGTGCTGATTCCCACATCCTTGTACTCAAAGTGTGGTCCTTGGACCATCAGGGTTAGCATCACCTGGGAGCCTGATAGCAATGCAGATTCTTGGTGTACTAAATCCCCACCTGCACTTTAACAAGCTCCCCGAGGAATTTGTGCATCTGTTAAAGTAGTAGACATTAAGTCCCATCAGGATAGGGACTTTGTCTTGTTCACAGCTATTTCCCAGAACCTAGAACAGTTCTTGGCAAATAGTAGGTACTCAGTAAGTATACATGTACTGGATGAATGAATGCCCTGAAGAGGAAAATGCTATCACGCCAAAGAGCTATAAGCAGAGAGATACTTAAGGGCTGGAGGAATGTTCAGAACTGGGGTTCATATAAACCTTCCTAATGTTCTGCTCTTCCAGTCTGAGTCTTCATGGGAATTCTGAGCTGTCCCCCCTTCCTCAGCTGATACAGATCTATCTGTCTCCTCAAAATGACGGCTGAAGTCTTCTTGGTTTAAACCCGTTTGTACGGAGCAGGCATCAAAGTATTGGCCTTTCAGAATTGCCATTGCAGTAACTGACCCAGCACGATGACTTTGCACCTATCTTTTCCTGGCAGGGCATTTTTTTATTGAGGTGAAATTCACACAACATAAAATCCACCCTTATAAAGTATACAATTCAGTGGCATTTAGTACATTCATGACGTTATGCAACGCCTCCTCTATCTAGTTCCAAGACATTTTCATCACCCCAAAAGAAAACTCATTAAGAAGTCACTCCCCATTTCCTCCTCCCCCAGCTCCTGACAACCACTAACCTGCTTTCTACTTTTATGAATTTGCCTATTCTGGACATTTTATATAAATGGAATCAGCCCTGGGTGTCGTCCTGTGCACCACAGGGTTGAGGGTTCGGTTCCCAGTTGGGGCACATGCTTGGGTTGTGGGCTAGATACCCCCCCCCCCGCCTAGGGGGCAGGCAGGAGGCAGATGATCAATGTTTTGCTCTCACATCGATGTTTCTCTCTCTCACTCTACCTTTCTTTCTAAAAAATCAATAAAAATATTAAAAAAATAAAATCATACGTTGTATGACTTTTTGTGTTTGGTTTCTTTCACTCAGCATGTTTCAAGGTTCATCCACATTGTAACATGTATTAGAACTTCATTCCTTTTTATGGCTAATAACATTCCTCTGTATGGATGAATGACGTTCTGTTTGGATGAATGACATGTTGTTCCATTCATCTGTTGAACATTTGGGCTGTCTCCACATTTTGGTCATTGTGAATAGTGCTGCTGTGAACATGGATGTGCGAATACCTGTTTGAGTCCCTGCTTTCAATTCTCTTGGGTATATTCATAGAAGTGGAGTTGCTGGGGCATATAGTAATTCTGTTTAACTTTTTGAGGAACCTGGCAAAAAATTTTATAATGAAATATTCCTTTTAATTACATGCTTATTTATTACTTCCATGAACATTTGTTGAATTCTCTATGAGGGCTTGGTCTTATTCCTGCCCTCGAGAAGCTCAGTCTATGGGGGTGACAGCATATCATGTAAATGTCAGTCTGCTGGAGATCACGTGGATATCATGGAAGGAACATGTACTCTGGATCAGTCACCGTGCTAAGTACTCCACATATATAATTTCATCTAAACTTCCCATCTATCCAAGGAGGTGGGCACCATTATTAGCCTCATTTTACAGATGTGTAAATCAATTCTTGTAACGTGTGATGGTTAGTTTTATGTGTCAATTTGACAAGGTCAAGGAGTGCACAGATATTTGGTCAAGCCTCATTCTAGGTTTCTCTGGATGAAATTAACATTTGAATGGGTAGACACAGGAAAGTGGATTGCCTTCCCTCATGTGAGTAGGCCTTATCTAGTCAGTTAGGGGCCTGAATAGAAAAAAATTTTTAAGTATGAGGGAATTTTCTCCTGCCGAACTACCTAACTGCCTTGAGCTAGGACATTGATTTATTTTTATTTTTTTTTCTTCAGACTTGAACTGAAACATCAGCTCTTCCTATGTTTCAAGCCTCCAGGGTTTCTGCTCTCCTGGTTCTCAGGTCCCTGGAACACTATCATCAACTCTCCTGGGTCTCCAGTTTGCCAGCTGCAGATCTTGGGACCTGTCACCCTGTACTCCAGACAACTTGCCCTAGACTCCCTCTCCCTACTGGTAGCAATGCAACATTGCAGCAACCCAGCTATGACCAGGCAGTTGAGGACAAGATGCCAGGGGATGGTGGAGCAATAGTATGAAAAGAACTTGGGCACTCTTAATGGCCTCACAGAGTGGAATCCTTTCACCAGCCTAGAATGTTAACTTCTGGACTGTTAACTCAGAAAGTAATAAAGATCTGTCTTTTAAAAGTCATTGACTATTTGGGCCTCTGTTGCAGTAGCTCAGCATACTCTAATATAGTCTTGCTTAGTCTGTCTTTCTTGGTCTGGGATAGATCCTATCTTTAGGGGGCAGCACACACACACACACACATACACACACACGCTCTATCTATCATCTATCTATCTATCTATCTATCTATCTATCTATCTATCTATCTATCTATCTATCTATCTATCATCATCTATCATCTGTCTACCTACCATCTATCTATCTCCATCATCATCTGATCTATCTATCTCTATAGTGAGAAATATAGTGACATATGTATAGAGTGATAAATATGGTGATATACAGTTGACCCTTGAACAACATGGTTTGAAGTGAATGGGTCTACTTATATGTGAAATTTTTTCAATAAATACCATAAATGTATTTTCCTTATGAATTTCTTAATAACATTTTCTTTTTTCTAGCTTACTTTATTTGTAAGAATACAGTATATGATACATATAACATACAAAATATGTCTTAATCAACTATTTATGTTATCAGGAAGGCTTCCAGTCAACAGTAGGCTATTAGTAGCTAAGTTTTTGGGGGAGTCAAAGTTATACGTGGATTTTCGACTGCATGGGGGTGGCAGTGTCCCTATGCTGTTCAAGGGTCAACTATAATATATATCATAGTTATATATAATATAAATTATCTAACATTATATTATATTGTAATGAACTTATATTATAATTAACATACATTATATATGAAAATATATTATATATCATGTATATAATGTATCAATATATGATATACAATATGTAGTACACATATAATATATAGTACCCATCTTCATTTGCTAATTTTGGGCTTTGTAAATATTTGTTACCTGACTAGGTCCCAGGACTCAGCTTCCACTCACCTCTTTACTGCCTTTAGTTGTGGTTGAGGAGGTGAGCTCTGCAAAAGACACCATGGGAAGTTACTGTTGGAGCTGAGAGTGAAAGGATGGAGAGTGGGTAGGTAAGGTGAGTAACTTGAATGTAGAATGTCTGAAGTCAAACTAATTATTTTCATTGACAAACTTCTATGCTCTTTGGGAGATCAGAGTCCAAGTTCCTTGTTACGATGCAGAGCAGTGTTTTCCCACTGGGGGTAATTTTGTCCCCAGGGGACACTGGCAATGGCTGGAGACATTTTTGGTGGTTACAGTTTGGGGCAGGGATGCTACTGGCATCTGATGGGTGGAGGCCTGGGATGCTGCTCAACACCCCACAATGTACAGGACAGCTCCCAACCATAAAGAGTTATTGGATCTCAATGCCAATACTGCTGTGATAGAGATACCCTGGCAGAGAGGAAGCAGAAAAATGTAAACTCCAAATTCTTTAATTCAGACATGGCTGGACATTATAACTGAAATGGCTGAGGAAACAGAAAATTAAATACCTCAGGTTTTAAACTTCAGCCTGGCTGGGGATTAGAACAGAAACAGGAGTGTCCATTTTTGGTTATCAGCTGTTAATGAATGGGACCTTGTGTGCTGTTTATTGTGCATTATGAGGACAACCATCTCTGTTTTAGAAAGATGAGAAAAGGCTAGCAAATGTTTATATACCTGTTACCACCAAACTGAGGTTAAATCTATTCCTAGACAGAGACCTATGCACAGAGAGAATCTCATATTCTTTGAACAGAAAATATACATTTAAAAAATATGTTTTTATTTATTTTTAGAGAGAGAGAAAGGGAGAGGGAGAGAGAGATAGAAACATCAATGAGAGAGAAACATCAATTGGCTGCTTCCTGCACTACCCTTATTGGGGATTGAGCCTGCAAACCAGGCACTTGACCTGACCAAGAATCAAACTGGTAACCTCTTGGTGCATAGATTGATGCTCAACCACTGAACAACACCGGTCTGCAGAAAATATGCTTTTTTTTTGTTTTTGTTTTTGTTTAAAATATTACAGATGTCCCTTTTTCTCCCCAATGACCCATTCCACCCTGTCCCACTCCCCTCCCCAGTCCTTTTCCACACCATTGTCCCTGTCCTTGGGTTGTGCATATATGCACATAAATTCTTTGGTTAATCTCTCCCCCTCCACCCACCTGCCCTCCTCTGAAAATATACATTTTAATAAACTCAATCATATGCTTTTGCAAAGAAACTTCTAATAAAGTTTTAAAAAGTAGAAAATCTTAGCCATTAGTTTAAAATCTCTAATAAATTTTAAAAAATTAAACATGATTCCTTTATTTTCTAGTACAATGAGGATCATATAAAAATGAATAATTGTAACAAACAATTGTTTCTTAGATATGACATCAAAGCACAAGCAACAAAAGAGAAAATAGATACATTGGGCTTCATTAAAAAAGCCAAACCAACACTTTTGTGCTTCAAGGGACACTATCAAGAAAGTGAAAAGAAAACCCACAGATGGGAGGAAATATTTGCCAATCGGATATCTGGTAAAGGACTAGCATTCAGAATATATAAAGAACTACAACTCGGTAACAAGAAAAGAATACAAATAACCTAATTAAAAATGGGTAAATAATTTGATAGACATTTCTTTTTTTTTAAATGGAAGGGTTTTTTTAAAAAATTGATTTTTATAGAGAGACAAAGGGAGAGAGAATCAGCGATATGAGAGTGAAACATTGCTCAGCTCCCTTCAGCTACCAACCCCCAGGGATTGAACCGGCAAACTTTTAGTGTGTGGGACAACACTCATCCAACTGAGCCACACTGACCAGGGGTGATAGACACTTCTTCAAAGAAGATAGAAAGCATGTGAAAAGATTCTCAACAGCATTAGTCACTAGGGAAATGCAATCAACTACAATGTGATATTGCTTCATACCCACAAGATAGACTATAATAAAAACAGACAGACCATAAATTGCTGAGAAGGATGTGGGGAAATTGGAACTCTCATACACTGCTGGTGGAAATGTAAAATGGCACAACCACTTTGAAACACAGTTCACAAGTTCTCAAAAAGTTAAGCACAGTGATCATATGACACATTAATTCCACTCCTAAGTATCTACCCCAAAGAACCAAAAACAGGTGTTCAGACAAAAACTTGTACATAATGTTCACTGACTTCATAATAGTCCTAAACTGGAAACAACCCAAATGTCCATCAATTGATGAACAGATAAGTAAAATGTGATATATTTATATAATGGATATTATTCAGCCATAAAAAGGAATGAATTACTGATACCTACTGCAACAAGGATGAACTTTGAAAACATTATGCTGAGTGAGAGAAACCAGACACAGATGAACACATATTATGTAGTTCCATTTATGTGAAATGTCCAGAATAGGCAAATCCATGGAGACAAAAAACAGATTAGTGTTTTCCAAGGCCTAGGGGGAGGAGTAAATGAGGAGTCACTGCTAATGAGTTTGGGTTTCTTTTTGAGATAGTGAAACGTTCTGGAATTAGATAGTAGTAATGGTACACAATTTTGGAATATATCAAAACCTACTAAATAATATATTTTAAAAGTGTGAATTTTATGATATATGAATTAAATCTCAATAAAATATGATGGTGGCTTTACAGGACTGGTCCCCAACAATGTCTCCAACCAATGTCCCTATCGCTTACCAGGCTATGGATACACTGACTTGATTTCTTTTTCTGGAACCAGCTAGACATATTTCAATCCAAAGATCTTTGTACTTGTGATTGCCTTTGCTAAGTTTTCTTGACTACCACTTCCATTCTCTACAATCTACGTAGTGAGGTAATATGTTGACATTAACTTATCATAATAACAGTTCTTAAAGCAGAAGTTTCAGCATTGGCACCAACTGGGGTTGACACCACATTGCCAAGTGAGGAACCAGCCCAGGTGCAATATTTGCAAAAGAGAAGGTGTTTAGAATCTGGTCATATGACTTTATATCCTCACTCATATCGAGGGTGTGAAGGATCGGGAGTTGACAAGTAAGAAAGGGAAGACTTATTTGGAGAGAGCTTATGCTGTGCTGTGAGCCCCTCCACTCACGCCCAAGAGGAGAGATGTGTGTGGGTCCTTTCCTCTTCATCTTACTCCAAGAGAGAAAGGGATTTTAAGGAGTTCATTTGGCTAATTATATATTGCCTATATTTTGTCGGGACCCAGTTGATTGGTGCCTATCTCCCCCTAAAAAACCTGAAAGGTGAGCCATTGGCTTGCATTGGGCAGAGAAGGGATATCTACTCCACCTGCACACCCCAAGTTTCTTGGGCAAAGGTGGGTGAATATTTCCCAAGAACTAGGCATGGGTCAGGTGTGAGTGATTTGTGGTGTGCAGTTGCTTAGGTCCTGTCCAAGATGGTCACCTGGAGTGGCAAGTGGACTTTAGCAGGAAGAAGCTGGAGGAATTGCAGGATTCCTCCAGGATGAGGAAGGTATAGAGAGGAATTTGCTGTTATCAAGGAAATTTCAGGGCAGTGACTGAGTAAGAGGGGAATTATCTTCATACAACCCACAAAGGTTCTCGTGAGAGAAAGTGTTATAACTCAGGAACATAGAGGCTAAATGGCAACAATAGCATCAGCGAAGTAGAGACTTTTCTGCTTCCTTTTCAGATTTCTTCTGGATTCCAAATGTAGCAAGATGGGGCAGAGAAGAGTAGAGGTGTTAGGTGGGAAAGAGGACTGACTGCAGGTTTCCAACCAGCAGGGAGCTCGAACTAGGGGAAGGAAACAAGCCAATATTAACTCAAGTCTGGAGTACTTATTCTTTTATAAGGTTGGACCTTTTGATTATTGAGTTGAGACTGCATTTTGCATCTTAGAGGACCGCAGGAATTTATATTAGAAAAGTTTCTGCCTAAGCTTCGTTCTCTCTTTGCCGTGACTTCTGTGCGTATTCTCTCTCCTTAACTTAAAAAAAACCCCAAACCCAAGCATTTATACGATGCTTTATAATCCATGAAGCACTGTCACATTCATTATCTTACTCAATCCCCCTACCACCCTCGTGAAGTCAGCATGATCATCCCCAAGTTACAGAGGAGAGTCCTGAGACCCAGCCAGGCTCTGGAAGAGCCCCCTTTGCGGACTTCATGGGAGCGTTTCCTTCTTGGCGAAGGCTGAACCGTAGTGTTCGGCACCGCACATTCCTGTTACCTCCCCACAGCCCTTATGCTGCCTACCTTCCAGTTCCAGCTCTGGCGGTTTGAAAATTACACACTTACCTTGACATACCTCCAAGGGGAAAGTGAAGAATTCCTTCCCAGATTTGGAGACGTATCCTTTGTTGCAAGTACAGTACTTGTCCTTGACACAGTTAGCATTTTTGGGGCATTGAGGACAGGCACCTGCAGGAAGAAGAGAGGCAGGCCAGATTCACTGGGGTCAAAAACTTTCCAGTTATCATTTGGCTTTGTTGCTGAGTAGGGCCTCTCGAGGCTGAGGGAACCTGTACCTTTTTTCTTTTGTGAGATCTCAGTGCAGTAAAAAAAATTAGAGATACTATTTATATACCTTCCAAAGTGATCACTCCGATAGTACCCACCTGGTAGCACACATAGTTACAACAACTTCGTTGGCCATATTCCCCCATGCTGTACTTACATCCCCAGACTATTTTCTTTCTTTCAATTTTATTTAAAAAAATTATTATTATTATTTATTTTTTTTAATTGTTGACAGTATTACAGATGTCCCCCATTTCCAGCTCCCACCCTTTGCCAGCCACCACCCAGCCCCTGCCCCATGCCGGGCCTTCACTGCACTATTGTCTGGGCCTGTGGGTTATGGATATATGCATATGAGTTCTTTGGTTAATCTCTTCCAGTTCCCTATCCCCTTGCCTCTGAGATCTGTCAGGGTATTCCGTGCATCCATGTCAGTTTATGTTTGTCAGTTTATTTTGTTCATTAATTCCACATATAAATGAGATCATGTGATACTTGTCTTTCTCTGACTGGCTAATTTCACTTAGCCTACTCACCTTCAGGTCCATCCATGCTGTCCTAAAGGGTAAGAGAGCCTTCTTTTTAACAGTTGCATAGTATTCTATGGTGTGAATGTCCCACAGCTTTTTTATCCCTCATCTATTGATGGGCACTTGGGCTGTTTCCAGATCTTAGCTATTGTAAATTGTGCTGCTATGAACATAGGGGTGCATATATTCTTTCTTGTTGGTGTTTTGGGTTTCTTAGGATATATTCCTAGAAGTGAGATCACTGGGTCAAATGGCCGTTCCATTTTTAATTTTTTGAGGAAACTCCACACTGTTTTCCATAGTGGCTGCACCAGTCTGCATTCCCACCAACAGTGCACTAGGGCTCCCTTTTCTCTACACCCTCGCCAGCACTTGTTAGTAGATTTATTGATGACAGCTAACATTCAAAGAAGAACTAACACCTATCCTTCTCAAACTAGGTCCATCCATGTTGTCAGAAATGGAGAGATTTCATAAATGTCTGATCAATAAGTTGTATACCTGGAACTAATATAATATTGTATGTCAACTATAACTGAAAAATAAATTTAAAAAATCTAAAAAAATTAGAGACACCAAACCCAAGTTATAGAGGAGTGCATGATATAGGTCTGGGGTTGGCATTAAACAAATTAATCTTAACAGAAAATTTTCAATGCAACATATTGTGTCATTCTCAAGATCACTGCAGAATTTATAAAAGGGGAATGAGTTAGTTAAGACTTGGGACTCTGGGTTCAATTCTGGTTTCACCACTTAATAGCTATGTGTCTTTGCATAAGTATCTTAAACTCTCTGAACCTCAATTTCCTCAACTGTAAAATAAGTTATTGTGAGGAATGAATTAATACACACAAAGTGCTTTGGGCAGGGTCTGGTACATAATAAGTGTCAGTTATGATTATAAAAATTTGAATTTGGAAGATACCATGGGATGTATATTCTGTTAATGGTATATGTTATCTTTGTAACCCTAGGTATAACTTCATTTAGACAAAGATACACTAAATATCTTAATTTGAGACTCCTTGGGAATGAGTGGAAAGAATAAGGCTGGGGAAAAATTTTGAGCTTTGGGTCTAGTGAAGAGATTTGGGAGCTGTAAAGGGTTCATGGGGAGTGGGTGCTGGGAACACTACAGGGGACCACTATGCAGAGTTTGGCTACGCAGAATGCACCCTTTGTCTAAAAATGCAGAATCTCAGGCCCCACCATAGACCTACTGAATCATAATCTAGTGAGATCTCCAAGGATTTAAAGCTAACCTGAAATGATCTTGTTCTTTTTATGTTGACATGCTTATGATCAGAATGAAATGGTGACCATCATGCTGTTTCTTCCCACTTGAGTGTTTACTTCAAGAGACTTTGTTTTATTTATTGTTCTATCTCCACCTTGGGAACATTGGGGGTACTAAAAGCAAACAAATAGACTAATAAAAGTAAAATAAAAAGATAAAATATATCCAAATTTGATGAAATAATCAATTAAAAAAGAAACAACACAGGAGTAAGCCAGCTCAAGTTCTGTTCCCCAAACAAGCCTCTTTTCTCTAGCCTGTTGGAGGATGTGGATGGCCCCAGGTTCATTCTTGGGCCACATCCCTCCTGGTCTCTGACGATGGAAGACGCAGGCTTTGAGCACTCACCTTTGGCCTTCTGAATCATGACTATTGACAAACTCAGTAGAATGCAGAGTCCTGGAACAAGGAAGCAGAAGGGACAGACATGAAATTAATGAGAAAAGATCTCAAGAAATTCTCCAAGGCTGTGTATCAGTTATCTATTACTGCAAAACAAACCATCACAAAATGTAGCATCTTAAAACAACATTCATTTTATTATCTCTCATTTTATTATGATATCTGTGGGCCCAGAATCTGGGAAGAACTTAGCTGGGTAGTTCTGGCTCAGGGTTTCTTATATTGTTGCAGTTAGACAGTGGCTGGGACTGGAGTGGCTGGAAACTGGGCATTACTATCTCTTCCTGTGATTTCAGGGCCTGGGGTAGTTTGAGCTTACTTCCAACATGTTGACCTTGGTCAGGCTGCACAGGAATCAAAGTTTATCCCATCTCCACCAAACTAGTCCAACATCATCTACACCCATCATCCCACATACCCTTCCATTACTGGGAACCACTTTTTAATTTTTTAAATTTTATTTATTTATTTATTTTTTAAAAATATATCTTTATTGATTTCAGAGAGAGGAAAGGAGAGGGAGAGAGAGAGATAGAAACATCAATGATGAGAGAGTCATCGATTGAGCCCACAACCAGGGCATGTGCCCTGACCGGGAATTGAACCCGGATCTCCTGGATCCTAGGTCGACACTCAACCGCTGAGCCATGCCCGGCCGGGCTGGGAACCACTTTTGTAAAGCTTTATTGAGGTATAATTGATATACAAAAATCACACACATTTAATGTATGCACCTTCATGAGTTTGGACGTGCATATACCATATACCTATGACACCATTACTACAATCAAGGTCCTAAAGCATATCTATCACCTCCAAAAATTTCCTAGTGTTGTTTTGTGGTCTTCTTTCTTCTTTGGTAAGAACACTTACCATGAAATCTACCCTTTTAACATATTTTGACACACACGACACTGCAACGTTAACTCTAGGTACTATGTTTTACAGTGAACCTCTAGGACTTATTCATCTTATATAACGAAAACTTTATAAACAGAAAAACAACTCCTCATTCCCCCCTCCCCCTGGCCTCTGGAAACCACCATTTCATTTTCTACTTCTATGAGTTTGACTACTTTCGATACTTTCTATAAGTAGAATCATGAATTATTTGTCCTTCTGTGTCTTGCTTATTTCACTTAGCATAATGTCCTCGAGGTTCATCTATATTGTCACAAATGGCAGGACTGCCTTCTTTTTAAAGGCTGGATAATACTTAATTGTATGTATATACTTTGTATGTATACTTTGTATGTATTCTTTACCCATTCATTGGCAGGACCCACTTTCTTAGGGGTAACCAAAGGTGCAAATAAAGTTACCAGTCACCAGAGCTAAATTTTAACCAGTGCACACTAAAAGAACTATGTTGGTGGTTCATACTGAAACACTTCCACAGTAGTCATGGCCAGAACCAGGTTCCAACTAGTAAAAGATATCGCTGAAAAGTATTTCCCAGTTTCTAAAACTCAGGCAGTCTGGGCCCTGTCACATTTCCTCAAGGCTAGACTTTAGGGTCTCCTCCCAGCCCCACCAGCAACACCACTCTCAATGGTATGTTCATGTACTTAGAGTTTCCAAAAAGTCATCAGTATGCTGGAATCCCAGAGTTCTCAGTCTTTAGAAATCATCCACTGACTTTTGTTGTTGTTGAGGTCCTCAGTTTCAATTTGCTCAGACATCAGTTGCGCAGATTTGGACATTGCCATCTTCTGAGGTTGGGGTAATAACATAAATGAGTAAATGCATAAAGTCTGGCAGAAATCTTCCATAAATGCTAGCTTCCTCTATTATCATTTTATTTGCATGAGAATCCTTTCCTAATTCTTGACCTGATGCTGATTTTATTCCACTGCTTGTTCCATCCAGTGACAAGGCAGAGAGTTTATGGATAACCAAACTCACCAATAACCTATTTCAAAAGTGTCTAGGACTCTCCAGTTGGCCCCCAAACAGGAAATATATTGTTAGGGTTTCTCGCATTTACATTGCACACTCTCTCATTTAAATTTGATTCCACAGATATATAATACACATCTCTTCTATGTAAAATGTCGTGGGAGGGGCTACAAAGTTGAGGGGACATGACATTTGCTTTCAAGTAGTTTATATTATTTTGATAGGATTTATGGTGTGTCACTCCCTCTGCAAATAAATAACTGTGAGACTTTAAGCAAGTCTATAACCTTCCCATGATGCCATCTCACATCTGTTATGTGAAGATGCTGTGTGAAAATGAGTGTAAAACAATTTTAGCTTGATGCCAGGCTCAAGTAGGGGCATGATAAATGTAAGCTTTGGTTGATTTTGTGGCTGTCGATAGTTCTTTGACCTGGAGCCAGAAGGACGGACTGGATTTCAGAGTTGGGGAACTATATACAAAGAAGTTGTGGTTGAAGCCACAGAATCATGGTATTCCTTTAGGGAGAGGGAGTAGAAGGAGAGACGAAGACCCCAAGCAGAATCCTGTGGAAAGAGCATTATAGCAAAGATCTGAGCCAGATGGCTGGGGTAGAATCCTGGCTCTGCCATTTGTATGTGGCTTTTGACAAGCAACATAACCTCTTTGTACCCCACTTTTCTCATCTGTATGATGGGGATAATAATAGTACTTGCCTCCCTCCTGGGTCTATTGAGAGGATTAAATGGGTTAATACATATAAGGAGCATAGTGAATGTTTAAAAATATTGGTTGTTATTAATAATATTCTTGGTACAGGAAAAGGAAAAGGGTTGGGGAAGAAAGACTAGCAAGAGGCAGAGAATGAGTTAGGGCAGCGCTAGGTCAAAGAAGTTATCAAGAAGGAGAGGATGTCAATTAGAAACCAAAACCTGTATAGAAGAAGATGAACAACTCATTGGATTGGACTGTAAGAAAGATTTTAGGGATATTTGGGAGCATAGTTTAAATAGAGTGGTGAGGTAGGAAACCATAATTTAAGAGAAAAGGAGACTGTTCAAAGCAAAACAGAGAAAAGAGAAGGAAAAGAGAGCTAATTGTTAAACTGAGAAGCTCCTGATAGGGGGTAGGTTTAGATACAGGCGTTGTCGAGGTTACACGTACCTGGAAGAAGTGATGGCCCCCGCATTTCTGCTTGCAGGTAATCCTTGCCGGCCAGTTCTGAAAGCTCTCTACTACCCTTTAAGCCACTTTTCCTGGGCCAGTAATCTTATGAGGATTGACATAAGTACCTATGGTCAACCGATTGAGGAATTTGTTCTTAGAAAAGTGAACTTCTCATTTTTCACCATCAGACCATGGTTCTCTTTTCTTACTTGTTTTTTTTTCTATGAGCTGACTTAGGAAATTGTTCTCAGAAGAGCAAACTTCTCTTTTTTCACCATTAGATCCATGGTTCTGCTTTTTATTTTTTTAATCCTCCAAAGATGTTTAATCACCCAAAGATGTTTTTATTGATTTTAGAGAGAGAGGCAGGGAGAGGGAGAAAGAGAGAGAGAGAGAGAAACAATGATGTGAGAGAGAAACATCAATTAGTTGCTTCCCATGTCCGCCCCAAGAGAGGAATTTAGTCCTAGGTGTTTTTTTCTTGTTTTATTTTTCCTTCCGTTTTTCTTGCTTAGGCAACTGCGTGGGTGATCGTTATCACTCCCACAACCATCCCCACCATCTTCTTCACCAGCACTATCACCAGCACTACCTCTACCATCTTCATCACCATCATCAGCAGCAGTACCACCACCATCATCCTCACCACTGGAACTGCTTTTGCTAAGAATACCAACAACGTCCTTAATGCTATAACCTGTGAATATTTTTCAGTCTTAATTCAGTCTGCTCTCTTTCCGTGCCCTCCATGACATCATACTCTACTCATCTGCCTCCATTTCTCTTGCACACTTGCCCTGTCTTCTCTATTAGCCACTCCTCCATGACTTGATTTTAAATACTTACTCATGGCTCTATTTTCACTCTACAATCTCTTCCTATATGATTTAGTACATTACCATGATTTTAATTATCACCTGTTGGCTGTGGAGGGGGAAAGCCCTTCCTTTTGTGATCCAGGCTATATATTCAACATATATTGATATAGCACCTCAAAATCAATTTGTCCAAAACGAAATTCTTTCTGTTCCCCCAAACCAGCTTTTTCTTCAATGTTCCCTTTCTCTGCAGCAAAGGAGCACTCCTGTTCTTTATCCTTAGTGGTCTTCTGGGGTTGGGGTGATTGTTGGGGGCAAGAGTTGTTCAAGAAAGACAGGCAGTGCCACCTAATGGTCAGGACAATGTTACTAAAGAGTGTTGGCTCTAGAGCCAGACTGCCTAGGTTCAAATCTTGGGTCTTTCACTTAATACTGTGTGACTTGGGGAAAGTTACTCAATTTCTTTGTCCCTCAGGCTTTTCTGACTTCGGACAACTTCATGCTGCTCTTTTCAGCCTCCAAGCCTTTGCATGTGTGGTACCCTCACCTGGAATTGCCCCCTTTCTTCCACTGCTCTGCCCTGGCCAGGTCCTTCAAGTGTGTGTTGTTCTGTATATCCTTACTTGACCCCAAATGTATATCCACTACAGCCCCAGTCTCCCACCTGGAGGTGGAGTTAGTATCTCCTCCCTCTATTCATATCACATTTAATCAAATGGAAGGAATGATCAGTTTTAAAGTACACCATTATTTTATGTACCAAACAAAGGAATATATAAAAAAATAAAATGGCAATAAATATGTACCTCTCAATAATCACTTTAAGTGCAAATGGCTTAAATACTTCAATCAAAAGATATAGGGTAGCTGAATGGATAAGAAAATGAGACCCATATAATATGTATCCTCAGGGTTGTGATCTCCACTGATTGGTTGGATCTCCCACCAGGGAAGGGGATTATTAGTCATAGCACAGCTGGTCCTGAGGTCACCTATGGCATTGCTCTGCCTTGCCTTGCTTTTCTGGGCCTGGAGCTGAAACACAGCTGAGGCCTAGACGTTGTCTCTAGTTTGACCAAAACATTGTCTCTGTGGTCAACAGACCTGAGGCTTTGTTCCTAAGATTATTTGATGAGGTTCAGAACTTCATTGTTTTGAGGGCTTAATGCTTAAGGGAATAGTCATGCAAGGGCTTGTATGGGAGCTGTATGAGGCTATTCTCTGGCCTCCTTGTTCCTCCTAGAAAGAGGTCTACCACATATACTGAGGGGAGGAAGTGTCAGGGGAGGGTCTGTGTTGCCTGACAAGTGATATGAAAGGTCAGGGGGTCTAAACCACATGACCAGAGATATGCTAGGGGAGGAATGGTTGCCCTGGAGGTGAGGGCCCACTTTAGAATTCTCCCTTGCTAGGCACCCAGGGCTTTCCACTCCGGTGATCTTCTATACCTGGCTTATCGTGCTTACTCTGCTCATGTCTGTCTAACTGCTTACTATAGCATTATCTAAGCTACATGACAGATGCGTATTTATTTACTTATTCATTGTGTTGAATTTTAACAAGATTATTTGAGCCAAACTAACAAAATATGCCAGTGAGCAAGATCTCCAATGCTATGGAGAATGACAGTTTTGTAAATACATATTTTTTTAAAAAATAATTTTTTATTTTTCAATTAGTTGACATACGATATTACATTAGTTTCAGATGTACAACATAGTGATTAGACAGTTATATAATTTATGAAGTGATCACCCCAATAAATGTAGTACCCATTTGACAAAATACATAGTTATTACAATATTATTGACTATATTCTCAATGCCATACTTTACATACCCCATGACTATTTTGTAACCACCAATTTGCACTTTTTAATACAAATACATATTTTTAAGAAAGAAGAGTCAGATTTCCTATCTATTGTCTTGAACAGATTTTTGTATCTTATTTTTAGTGAGAAGGGCAAGTTGTAGAAGAAATAAGATACAGTCATGAGCTTCTTAATGATGGGGATACATTCCGAGAAATAATATATCATAGGTGACATCACAGAGTGCACTTACTCAAACCTACATTGTATAGCCTACTACACACTTAGGCTATATGATGTAGCCTATTGCTCTATATGGGAGGAAAGATCATTTTCCCTCTACCCTACTGGGTTCTTGGTTGAGACATCCCTGTATTAAACGGCAGAGTAACAGGAGAAAAAACAAACAAAAGTTTAATAACGTGTATATCTCCTATTTACATGAGAGAGCCTCTGGAAAACTGAGTAACTCACCAAGATGGCTGAGGCCAGCACCTTAAATACCATCCTTAGCTGAAGACAAAAGAGGATATTGGAGGTAGGAGGGCGTCAGTTTTGGGAGGTTACCAGGAAAAGCGAAGTAAACAAAGAAGGGTAAGGTTGTTATGCAGATTTTGTCTTTGTCTTCTGCATTGATAAGAGTTTTCTAGAGCTAAGGAGAGAGACACTCTCACAAATGGAGATTTCCCTTACAAATGTAAATAATTCTTATAATGGTTAACTTCTACTTGGTTTTTATAGCTTCTCCCACCTCTAATTTCTTAAAATTAACCAGCCCAAAGTAATCCTTATGCCAAATAGACATTATTTTTGGGTTACAAATTCTGTTTCCCCTACAGCTATAAACCTGCACAGCATGTTACCGTACTGAATATTGTAGGCAATTGTAATATAATGAAATCGAACCTAATGGGTCCAGGTTGCCTGTCGATACTTAAGCCAATTAAGCAGAGACAAGTTTGAATCATATATCAGCATTTATTCCAATAATGCCAGCAACATGGGAGTGTAGCAGGATTTGTTCATATAAAATATGCTCTACCTGCCCCCCGTAAGCCAGTTCCTTATATTGGGTAGAAGGAGAAAGATTACATGGGGAAGTGGGCAAAAGGAGTAAGAATGGGTATTAAGGTTTACAGGTTACAGGAAAGGGGGGAAAGGGGGGTAGCAAAAGGGTGGGGTGCCTCTGGGACTCCTTTGTTTTGGGAACAAGGTTGTCAATCTTTCCTTGATGTTAGGCAGTTAAGGAGCATAGATCACATTCCAAATCCAGGGGCATACAGCTCCCACCCAGGTTAGAAAGTGCTTTTCCTAATCAGAACAGAGCAATCACAGTTAAGATAACATGGTTAATACTTCTTGTAACTATCAGGGTCGACAGAGCATGAACAACATCTCTGCCTCCAACAGTAATAAGTGTTCGTGTAATGCACTGAGCTAAAACATGAAGCCCGGAACTAAGCTGCAAGGGATAGGAACTTTTCAGCTCCATTATAATCTTAAGGAACCACCACGGTATATAGTATTTGGCTGAAACGTCCTTATGCAGCTCATGACTATATTCAATCCTATCCTCAAAAGAAATTATTAGGACTGAAAAATAAATTTTACCTAGAATATATTTTTGTAGGGGTTGGGTTAAGCCAAATGAGGAAGGTCAGAGAGGGGAGAGGAAAGTTAAGCTCTGAGCATTCCCGGGGCACGGCTCACCAAGCCCAGGACACGCCCGAACCCCGCCCATTGGACAGAAGCCTTGCCCCAGCCCTGTCCATCGGGCCTAGACCCCGCCCCCCAATCCCACTCTCCAGGTTCCTCGGACCCAACCCCAGAGCCTAACCTCAACTCCTAAGGGAATTAAACTATGATTTCTCCTCTCCTCCAAGGTTCGACGTATAAGGAGTCAACCTCCCAGCAACTGTCTGAAGCTTCTCTGGCCCTGAAACCCAAAGTCCCGGCTACTTCCGCCCCCGGGGCCCCAAGAGCGGAAGCGGAAGTGCGCTGGGGCAGCCGCAGCGCCGGCCGGGGCGTTCCGGGGGCTGTGCGGGGCTCCCTCGGTGTGCTGCGGTGGGAAGTATTTCTCCGGGGTTTGCAGGTGCGGTCAGGCCCCTCGGGAGGGCGGGGAGGGCGGGGAGGGCTCGGAGGGGCCGGAAGGCCTGGGACTTAGGCGATGGCCGAGACGCTTTCTCCCGGCGGTTGCCCCGGGGTCGGGATGGGTTGAGCACTGTCCGGCCTCGCAGCCGCGCCCTCAACTCCTGCGGCCCGATACCTCGCCCTCAGGTAACCCCCTTCCGGCAGACGGGGCTCATTCATCCATCAAAAGGGAAATCACGTAGTACAGCCCAGGCCCTGCAGCTCAGGAGGTGACACCGGCCAGCCCCAGCCTTCACCCGCCCTCCCGGGTTCGTAGGGCCCTACCCTACCGCCCTTCTGCAAGGTAGCTGTTCATAAGCAATTCCCGTTTTATTTAATGACATTTCATATTATCTAGCTCTTCAGTGGAAAAGTTAGACCTGAGTCTACATGTACAAATTGGTTTGAATGATTTGTCAAGTAAATTTAAAAATGGAATGCATCCTCTATCAAGGGATGAGTTAGATGAGTTTTGTGTGTGTGTGGTTTTTT